GACCCGGACCTCAGCCTCCTCCGTCCCTCGCTGGCCCAGGGACTGCAGCGAGGTGGCCACCGCCTTCGCCTACCTGCTGACCGACCTGTGGCTGGAGGATGCCGACTGCGTGTCCCCCGAACAGTTCCGGGCCGCGTTCGGCCGCCTGCACCCCGCCTTCACGAGCAGGGCGCCGCAGGATGCGCAGGAGTTCCTCATCTACGCGCTCGACGCGCTGCACCAGGCGCTGAGGAAGGTGAGCAGCCCCGGGGCCTGCCAGGGTTTCTTTCCGATTGGGTCAGCCCAGGTGCGCCTGCGGACACAGCTTAATTCCTTTCACCCGCCCGGCCTCTTCCTCCATCTCGTGGTCCCTTCCCTTTTGCAGAAGATCCATCTCCCTACTTCCTTTTATCTTTTATTTTGCTCTTTATTTACACTTTGGGTTCCTCGGCTAAGAGTAACCGTGCAGTATGCGGCATTTAAGCCTGCGTGTCTGATTGCTTGCACGTAATTCGATGGTCTCAAGGTGCGTCCGTATCCCCCTTCCTGGCTGAGTAGTACTCCTTGTGTATCTTCAGCAGCCACTCCAGCCTCTCAGGCTTCCTTCACGTGTCGTGTCGTCTGCTGCGTGCAGTGCCGGGCAGGACTTGGGCTGTGCTGCACAGCCCTTCACGTCTGGATGCACAGCCGCACCCACCAGACTGGCATTCCAGTCACCAGCCAGAGGCGGACCCGAGAGACCAGTTCTCCTTACAGAGGAAAGCTTCGTGGACCGGCGTTTAAAAGTACCCGTCACATTCTATGTAAGAATGTGTCTACTGACAAACGGCACGTAGGAAAGACTTTAGCTGGGCGTGGTGGCACACGCACTTGTAATCCTAGCCCTTGGGAGGCTGAGGCAGAAGGATCAGTGCGCGTTCCAGGCCAACTTGAACTACATAGCAAGATCCTGTCTCAAAAATCTAATGACAGACCACAAATTGAATTTTCACAGCTTCTGCGAATCGGGCAGGCAGTGACTCCTGCTGGCTTTGAGCACAGCCACCCCAGGTGCTTGCTGGGTGCAGACTGTGCCTTCCCCTCCATGCCTGCCTCCGCCCTGTGTTCATGACTTTGTCCCCGCCCGGCTGCAGGGCCATTAGCTTTCCAGGTGGGAGCAGCACAGTGTAGACCCCCGTGCTCAGCCGCAGGAAAATGAAATAAACAGCCACATGACAAATGAGGGGCTGGAGACCGAGGTGCAGAGGGAACAGAGCCTGCTGGCCCCGAGCACAGCTGTGACCTTTGCGGCCCTCCACTAGGCATGGGCTCGAGAGACATCTTGGGAACAGGGGACAGGCTGGGGCCACCAGGCCGCAATTTCGCGGTGCCTGAGGAATTGTTTTCCTGTGTTTCAAAACTAAGTAAAACTTCATTAACTCACATTCTTTCACCATTACCAGAAAAATGCAGAAAACATTTTGTGTTTATAAAGACAAGTAGTTTCTTTACCCAGAAATCCACACTTCAGACCACAATGGGGAAGAGGACAACACTGTCCCCACAGCCCTGTGCTGACCCTGGTCCAAGACAAAGCTCCTGGCCCACTGAGCCTGTACACGGCCAGCTGCTGTTGAGGGCCAAGGAATGACCACCAGCTTGTCCCCGGCAAGAAAGTGGACGTAAAGCCAGGCCAGGAATCGGGTGCCTGTATTCACAGGACACAGGAACTAGGTAGCCACTTATGACAGTGAAAACAAGATTCACTTTAGGTGTGACATTTTCTCCTTGCTTTTATTTTGAAAAGTGTTTTCCAGCTGCGCGCAATGGCCCAAGCCTGTAATCCCAGCACTCGGGAGGCTGAGACAGATCTGCTGCAAGTTCAAGGCTAGCCTGGGCTACAATAGTGAAACCCTGTTTCAAAAAACGCAAAGTATTTCCTGTACATTAAAGGAGAACAGGCAGGGAACGTAAACTGTAGGGATTAGACTAGACTAGATCAGCTTGTGTGGCAACTATGTCCAGGGCCCTGTATCACCTGAGCACAGGCTGTCAGCTTCTGTGGCCATGGGCTTGTGTTTTACCCGAGTCGGGGGCCACCACGACCACTGCCCCGCTTCTCCTCAGGAGCAAACGCACACACGTTGTATACCTCAAGCTTCTACTCTGTGCACTGTCTCAACCTGCAACTCAGTGGTTTCTGTTGGGCGTGTATCATTCTGATAGAGAAAGTTGTTCTCAAAAATGCTTTTGATAACCCGGAGTTGATTTGGAGGAATTTGTCTCTTGACCCAGTACCATCGAAGAAGGTCACATGAGAAAAAACCTACCCCAAGGTGTCACAGGAAGGCGACTGCCGGTGAGACGTCCATCATCACCTGGCTCTTTGAAGGGGAGCTCAGCTACAGCATCGTGTGTTTGAAGTGTGAGAACTGCACCTACAAGAATGAAGTCTTCACCGTCCTCTCCCTCCCCATCCCATCCGAGTATGAGTGCACTCTTCAGGTAGGATTTCTTAATCTTGGATGCTGTGTCTTAAGAGTTTTGGAGACAGGGTCTCACTAAATTGTCCGAGCTGGGCTCACACGTCTGATCTTCATGCTTCGGCCTCCTGAGTAGCTGGGACTACAGGTGTGTACCCCTGTACCCAGCCTACCTTTGGATGCTTCTTTTTGCCCTACCCTGTGTTTTCTTGGAGCTTTTTTAGGTATATTGGTCAGCTTTCCTGTTGCTGCTATAAAACACCTGACATCCACAGCTTATAGGAGGAAAGCTGTAACTTGGCTTATGGTTTCAGAGGGTTCAGTTCATGGCAGAAGGACATGGTGGGAAAAACTACTCATTTGATGGTGGCCAGGAATCAGAGAACAGCACTACAAGGGGCCAGAGACCAGACATAGACTCCAAGGTCACACCTCCACGACCCACCCAGACACATACTGAAGCACTCTCTGAAGCCAGTCAAGCAGACAGTTAAGAGTAACCCTCGTCAACCTGACACCCAGACACATCTTCTAAAACCATACTTAATCTCCAAATGATGATAGTCATTTGTATCATTCTAACATGATACACCCACCCTTTATGCAACCAAATTCTCAACAGTTCTGCACTTCTCAGAAGTCCATGTCAGAGTCTCTGAAACTTAAGACGAACTCTTAGCTGTGACTCCCTAACAAATTACTTAAGTGATAAAGGGTAAACATTCCCATTCCCAAAATGAGGAACAGAAGGATGTGAAAAAATTGAACTGAAACGCAGCAAAGCAATGTTGAGCCCTGTAGCTCCATGTCCAGCATCCAGAGGACTTGGGCATCCCCATCCCCGCGGCTTTGCTGGTTGTGCCCACCTGACCCCTCTCCTGTGCTGCTCCGCTCATACCCTTCAGCTTTCCTCCGGAGAAGGTGGCACCTCCAGCTTCCTGGAGCCTCCACTGTCCATTTAGCTTCATTCTTGCAACTGCACCTACTTCCCTTTCTGGAATGCTGTCTGACCTCCCAGGCCTTCCTTCTAAACTCTCTGGCAGGATGGGGATGTAGCTCAGTGGTTCCACCACCTGACTTGAAAGCGCAAGGACCTGAGTTCAAGGACCCCGGGACCAAAAACAAAAAACCAAAAAATAAAAATCCCAGTGGCACCTCCATTATTGCACAGCTCTTGCACACCTGTGTTCCTACAAAACAAGTATTATGTGGCTGATGCCAGGGTTTGCTACCAGTGTAAGCAGTAGCCAGGCCTCCTTGGACCATGGCAGCAGCATGGATGGCTGAGCACAGTGAAATGAATCTCGGGAGCCAGTTCCCTAGACAGCCCCTCTCAAGTAGGGGACCCAGGAACTCTCTCTTAAGTCAAAGGTTTAAACTTTTGTACCTCTGAGGTTGTGATAGATGAGATTTTGCTGATTCCTAAGATGCCCTATGCCCTCAGGGCATCGTTCTTGTCCCCATTCAAGTTACTTGGTTTCTTTTTTTTTTTGGTACCAGGGATTGAACTCAGGCCCTTGTGCTTAGGAGGCAGGCACTGGAACCACTGAGCTAAATCCCTGGCCCTACTTGGTTTCATTTTAATGGTGCTAATCTCTTCAGCAGCCACATATCCTTAATTTTACATGTACTTTATTTCAGGCCAGAATTTCAAATCTTTCTGTTTTGGTTTTGTTCCCAATTTTCATTATAAAAGTGGATTAAAAACAACCAGCAATACCCATGCTACAGCTTGAATGTTGAGCTGACTTGAAATTTCTTCCACCACATCAGTCTCCTCCAAAGTCTCAGGATGTGGGCAAAATGTACACAAACTTTTTGCCAGAGTATATGCTCTCTATTCCTATTCCTAACAGAGCCCCCTTCTGAAACCTTCTGAGCTTGGCCTTTACTGTCTGCATTTTTATTAGCATTCTGGTTTTCTAAGCCCTTGTTAGAATCATCAGACTCTGCGTACAGCATTCTAGGGCTTCTGTAGCCTTGTATTTCCAAACCTTTCCAAATTCCTCCTACAAACTAGTTCCATACAGTTTGGAACCATACGATCAAGTACAGTCACAGTAGTGACCCCACTCGGTAATCAAGTCCACAACTTAATGGAGAAGTGTAATTTGGCTGATTGTTTCAGAGTTCAGTCTATGGTTAGGTGGTTCCAAGGCAGAAATATCATGGTGGACCGGTGGGGTGGTCTCCAGGAAATAGCAGAGGAGCAGCACCAGAGATGAAAGGGCCAGGGACTAGATACAGACACCACGGGCGTGCTTCTGTGAGCCCTTTAGACATGCTTTTGCAGCTCCCAAGCCAATCAAGTTAACAGTTGAGTTTAACCATCACAGAGGTTTAAAAAAAAAAGAAGAAAGCCCATGATTTGTTTTGAAAAGCAACGTGTTGGCTGTAAGTTGTGAATTCCTTCCCCACCCATGCTGGATTTGAACACAGGGCCTTGCTCATGCTGAGCCAACACTCTACCATTAAGCCACAGCCCTGGCCCCCAAACAGTCTCTAAATGAAGTGCTAGCCAAGTCTACTGAAAACAAAATCTGTGTTCATCTCCCTGGTGAGGTAAACCGTTTGCAGAACCAGGGTCCTGACTGCATTGAGGAAATCTCCCGTGGATGTAGCACCCGATTTTTCTCTGTTCTGCAGCTTTATTATGGGAAGCCATTCCCAAACCCAGAGATGTGGTCCCTTTTCAGTCACCAGATCATGTCAGTGATGAGTCCTGTCAAGTAGCTGCCTGGCTTTGTTAGTGGCAATTTTGAAGTCTGGACTATTTTGAAATAAGCCAGAAATGTCCAACAGCTGGACGTTAAGGAGGCAACTGCTTACATCCGTCTCAGTGCCTGAGGGAGAAAGCAGTGTTCTTGGTACTTTTGCTGGGTGGAATTTACAGCTCTCTGGGCTGTAGCCTGTGACCAACCCAGTTTTCTCCTGGCTTTGTTGATGAGCAAAGCCTTTAGGAGCGTGCTGCAGACGCTCTTTCAAGTTCTAATAAAAAGGCCGCAGGCCATAGTTGTGCCAAGATGGCTACCACGTGCTTCTCTCCCCACAGGACTGTCTCCAGTGCTTTTTCCAACAAGACACACTGACCTGCAACAACCAAATCCATTGCTCCCTTTGTGAAGCCAAGCAGGAAACAGCTGTGAGGGCCAGTATTTCCAAAGCACCAAAAATAATTATTTTTCACTTAAAAAGGTATGTATTTGGCAGTTTGTGGGCAGCTATTTTCAAACACCTTTACAGAGACATAATTCACATGCCAAGAATTTGCCCTCTTAAAGCATATAATCTAATGGTATATGGTGTGCTGCATTATTAATTTTTAAAATTGGTATATATACATATATATCATAACATCTGCATTGTTTCAATTTTAAGTTTATAATTCATTGGCATTAGTTATATTCACAATGTTAGGCAACAATCACTACAATTTCCAAAACTTTTTATTACCCCAGAGAGAAACACGGTCACCATCACGCCTCATGGTGGTGCACGCATGTAATCCCAGAACTTGGAAGTCTGAGGCAGGAGGATTGTCATGAGTTCAAGGCCAGCCTGGCCTGCATGGTGAACTCAACGCCAGTCTGAAATGCATAGCAAGACCCTGTCTCAAGAAAACAAAACAAAACAAAAAATACATCATGTAATACTTGTCTTTTTTGTCTGGCATATTTCACTCAGCGTTATGTTGAGTATTGTCATTCACAATAGCATCAAGAAAAATGAAATACATAGGAATTAACCTAACTAAGGAAGCAAAAGACCTCTACAGTGAAAACTACAGTACCCTGAAAAAAGAAATCAAAGAAGACATCAGCAAATGGAAAGATGTTCCCTGTTCCTGGATAGGCAGAGCCAATATTGTCAAGAAGGCCGTACTTCCAAAACTGACATAGAGATTTAGTGTAGTCCCAAACACAGTACCAGCAGCATTCCTCACAGAGAAAACAATCAAATTCCTACAGAAACAGCATAGCAAAAGCAATCCTGGAAAAGAGCAAAGCAGGAGGTATCGCAACCCCAGACTTCAAAGCTCCAGTGATAAAAACGGTATGGTACTTGCACAGAAAGACATAGGATCAATGAAACAGGATGCAGAAACAACCCCAGCCACATTCAGCCATCTGGGCCCTGGCAAAGGGTTCAAAACACACACTGGAGGGAAGGCAGCGTGTTTACTAAACGGTGCTGGGAAAGCCGGCGTCCACACACACAGGACTGAGTCTGGACCCACACCTCACCATGTGCTACACCCAACTGAGACTGGGTGAAGATGGAAATGTGCCTCCTGCCTGCCCTCTGCCACACTGCCCCACCGTGGAGACAGCCAGCTACGGACTGGAAGCTCTGCTCTGTCTGACCATATGCGAGTCACCGAGGGTCAGTCCTGAGGAGTGTCACCTTGCACGTTCAGGATTGTGCCGGCGGTTAATAAGAAATAAAAGGGTCTTTGCTCTTTTGGAATAGTGCCAACACCCAGATTGCACCGGTGGGTCTTCATCACAGGATTGGCTCAGTGACTCCTTTTGGAGTTGGAAAGCTGGTCTGGGATCGTCTTCTCCGAGGAGAAAGTGGATTGTGTCGCTGGATGGTGAAGGTATAAAAATACCCCTTGCAGTGTTGCTGCTGATGTGCTGAGAGGTTTTGATGAAGGCCAGGTCAGTGAGCAACACTCGGCGTCCAAACCAGATGTCAGGCCTATGTCTCCTCCCACCTTTGTGGTCCTGGGGCAGCAGAGTCCCCAGTCAGAAGCTGACCAGTTGACTGGGGTTGCTGCGGGGGAAGGGTTCCCCTTGGAATTGTTTCTGAAACTGCTTTGATGTTTCAGACAAAAGGGTACAGTAGGGCTGGGGATGGAGCTCAGTGGCACCGCACCTGCCTGACAGGTGCAAGGTCCTGAGTTTGATCCCCAGTACCAGAAAAAAGGGGCGTACAATCAGGTCAGTCCTTTGTTCCTAAGAGTATGATTAACGGCAGCAGGCCAGGTCACTGTCCGGTGCAGAAGCATGGGCCCTGATCGTGTAGTACACGGCCGCTCGTGCTGCGGGAAACTTGCAGATTTTAGATCCCAGTGATGCTCACGTGATGGTGGCTGGAGGTGCAGGCTCCTGCATCAGTCCTTTATCTCTCACCGGGTTTCCTGGAGCTGGAGCTCCAAGCACCATTTTCATCCCGAGAGATGTTTTGTCACGGGACAGGGTGCAGAGGGCCTGGAGCTGTACGGAAGTTTGGGGCTCCGGACGCTCCGGTGCCGCTGCACAGCCTGAAGACACCGCTGCGTCAGCGCACGTGCTCCTTCCACACCACCAGGAGTTGCTGCTGAAAACAGCCGTCGGCATCTCTGCGGGGACATCCGCTGGTGCTCAGGCACAGCCGAGGCTGCTTTTACTGCACTGGCTTCTCGTTATCAGAAATTTTCACCTGCTTTACACCTGGATTGTACAGAACCACAGTCTGGTCTCAGTTGTGGATGCAAGAATGGAAAACTGAAGGCGTTTTGGGCCCGATCTCTTTGGTTTTGGTGGTACAAATGCAACCTTTTAATTGCTGGCATGTAGGACAGGTCATGTGTAATTAAATATTGGCTTTTTAAATGTAAACATAGAAATAATACGCTTGCATATATTCATGTAACGATACTGAAATGCCTTTTGTCTCTGTTAAGCTTGCTCAGCCTTGGAAAACTTGTGGAATAAAGGAAGGCTGTCCTGTGCACTGTAGGATGCTTAATCTTCCTACGAGGTTCTAGTCACGGCTCCTTCCCTAACCCTGACAACAGAGAAATACCTCTAAGTGTTGCCAGATATTTTCTGGAAGACAAAATAACCACCCGTGAGAACCGCTGACCTGTCTTCCTCACACCGTAGATCAGACAACTTCTGTGGAATTTTATGTGCTTTGATCCCACTTACAGAGCAGCTCCTCTGCTGGCCAGGGTTGCTAACTCGTACAGTCCCACGTACATCCTTCATGTTACTCAGTGTAGAGACAGGAATATGTAACTGCGAGCTTTCATCACCGATCGGCATTCTTGGAGCAGAGCTGTCAGCCTGTCATGTCTATTTCACCGTTTTCTTGTCTTACCCAAACTGTAATTCAGCAAATTAATGAAATCTCCCCAACCCTCCAGCTGTTGGTTTTCTGAAAGAAGAAAGTAGAAATAAATTGGCATTTCAAAAAAAATTTAAACCAGGAGCCCTTAATCTGTTGGAAAATAGGTAAAGCTTAAAGACATAAGAACAGAGATGACTTCCTTTTCTTTTGGTACCGGGGATTGAACTCGGGTCCTTGTGCTTGCAAGGCAGGCAAAAAACCACTGAGCTACATCCCCCGCCCCAGAGACGACTTTCTGAACAGAATCCCATTTGCTCCGGAAACATTTACAAGAATCAACCACTGAGACCATGTCAGAACGCTTCTGCACAACACAGAAAACCTGAGCAAAAAGACAACATTCAGAATGGGGAAAACTTTTTAGCTAGCCATTCCTGCGACAGAGGACTTGTATCTAAAATATATAAAGAGCTTTAAAAAACTAGTATGCCCAAATAAAACCCCAATCAAAAAATAAGAGAACTGAATAGATGCTTCACAGAAGTGCAGATGCCCACATAAAACATAAAAGAAGTGCTCAGCCTCTGTAGCCAGAGAAATGCAAATTAAAACAAGTTTCCATCTTACTCTAGAAAGAGCAACCTGCAGTGGCTCCACGTCTCTGTGGCTTCTCCCCTTCCCCAGTGAGTCAAGTCATGATGTAGCCAAGAGTGGCCTCACACTCCCGAGTGCTGGGATTACAGGCGTGCGCCACCACACGCGGCCTGGATGTGGGCTTCCTAGATATCTAGATGAAGGGAAGCAATTTGTGCCGGAGACGCTCGGTCGTCCTTCAAACGCATCAGCTGTGCATGCAGCGTCTGTGGAGTTCCCTCCATGAACCGCCTGCCTCCCCTCTACAGGTTTGACGTCCAGGGCCAGATGAAGAGGAAGCTGAGGACCGACATTCACTACCCGCTGACCAACCTGGACCTCACGCCGTCCATCTGCACCACCTTGCGGAAGCACCCGAAATACAGCCTCTGGGCGGTGGTGGTGAGTGTGCTACGGCTGCTCGCATAGCTCCTAGAGGAGATTCTAGACGTTTTGGTTCAGTCTCTACGCTTTGTTATCTCTGATTTTCCCCATATCCAGGGCCTCTGCATGGAGCTACATCTCCAGCCCATTTTTATTTTTTATTCATTCACTCAGTTGCTCAGGGTGGGCCCAAACTTGCAGTCCTCCTGCCTCAGCCTCCCAGAGCTGGGATCACAGGCGTGCGCCCCCAGGTCCAGCTCCGTAAGAGATTTCTGCAGCCTTGATCCGCGCCCTGGAGTGCACGCTGCTCAGGGTGGCTGTCTGTGCGCCGGCCGATGGTTTGCTCGGAGCCCTTGTAGAAGGTAGCCATTCGCTCCCCGTTGCAGGCTGCTGGGGTGGGCACAGTCACCCCATTTCCAGATCAGGGGCCAGGAGTCCCGAGTGCGGTCATTTCCCCAGCGCCTTCTGCCTGCTCCGCCCACACTGCCACAGATGTCTCCAGGGCGCAGCCCCTGCTCTCCCCTGTAACTCTCCCTGCCTGTCCTAATTCTGTCCCTCACAGCCATAGTGGTACCATTCGGGGTAAAAATACGGTGAATGTTGAAAAATGTAAAGCCCATTGCGAAGAATCCCCGTGCACGTCCCGCCCTCGCTCAGAGCACTCTCCCGTGGCTCACCACTTTCTGAAGCAGCTCTGGAGTACTTTCCTGGGCGTCTCTGATCACAAACGTGGTGACTGCCGCTGCCAGGCGCCATCCGACAGAAAGGCTGCAGGCTCGTAAAGACCTGGCACTGTGCTCACCCACCTGACTCACCAGATCCAGCTCGTGCAGCAGCAGCAGCTGGCGGCCTCCCTCTGCCTCTGCCTCTCCCGCCACCCCCGGGCCTCCCGAGATACCCACACCCAGTCAGAGGGCAGATTAATTATCGCAACTTTAATCCGTGTTCACAGCCCTAGTCCACAGTCACACACCCCAGATCCAGCTTCCTCTGAAAAGCTCTACCTGTGAGCGCAGGAAGCTTTGGGGGACATCTAGAAATGCACCAGTAACAACACTCACGAAAGAGGACCCCAGAACTGCTCCCAAGTGGTAAGAGCCATGGGATGTGTGTTTGAAGTGGGGGATTGGCAGACGACGATTAATGGCAGTGTCTTTTACCGTGATAATGAATTATTCCTAATATTTTATCACAATTTATAGGTGGCTTATAGTGAGCAGATGCTTGTCAGTGTACGTTATCAAAGCAGAACACCCATTTTCTTTGTCCTTATTGATACATGTTTGCAGTACACGATTACACGCATTTGGGGAGCTGGTTCACAAACAGCGCAGCTTACTCCTTTTCCTTCACCCCTCAGCGTCAGGTCTGGGTGGTTATCTTGTAAGCCCCTGAAAAGTTAACTCATACCCAGGGTACAGATGCACAGCGAGGCCACAAGCATCGTGGAAATCAGGTACACTCAGATACGCTGTCCACGCTGTCCGGTCATTGTTTCCTTTCTTTTTTCCTTGGGTCTGTCTCTTACACTTGCTTTATATACTGAGTTTCCGTGTAAGAGAAGCCATGTGATATTTAAACTTGTCTCTGATTTTTAACGTTGTGGTCCCAAGGTGCATCCACTTTCCTACACACGGCTCAGCTTTATCCTCTGTGGCAGAGCCATTGGACACGCAGGCCGCTTCCGAGATCACGCTGCTGTAAGCGTGGGGACTCATGGGTCACTGAGGTGTGATGTTTAACTCTTTACCTAGAAGGGGAAACTGGGTAAATGGAATTTCTATTTGTAGTTTTTAGAGAAATCTCCACACTGGGTTCCAGTGGCTCACCAGTCATGAAGTGTTCTTTCTCCCCACCAGACTCGAGCTCTCTTATTGGTTGATTTCTTGACATTCTGACATTTCTAGTCGTTCTTGAGAGAATCCCAGTGTTCTTTTAACTTGCATTTCTCTAATGGCCAGAGATGTTGAACTTGTTTTCATGCATTTATTGGCCCTTTGTACTTCTTTAGTTTAAAAGTGGGCTTCAGATGCCCACTTTATCAATGAGTCTTTAAATTTGAAGGGTCTAATTTTTTCCCCACTGAGTTTATTGATACATTTTAGGTCTACAGTACAGTTACATTCATCATTGGGATCTTGCACCTTTACATGACAGGTCTTGGTTCTTATTTTTCCCCATTCCCCTGCCCTCCCTTCACCCCCTCCACCCTTCCCTATTTACAAAGACTTTGTTTCCATTTTTTCCTTTTCTGGCAGTTTTTCTTTTCCCTTCTTTCTCCTACCCTGGAGGATCTAATTTTAGTTCTTAGCTGGCAAAAATTTTTCCCTTTCTATTTAAGTTGTCTCTACCTTCTGTTGGTTGTTTCCTTTGCTGTGCATGCTTTTTAATTTGATGTAATCCCATTTGTTGATTCTTGGTACCCCTTCAACTGGGCAGAACATCCATTTTCTACATAGGCTGTTCCTTCAAATATTTGAAAACAGCAGTCATACAAGTCTAGTTCCTTGAACGCTTCTCAAATGACTGGTTTCTAGAAAGACTTTAAAAACTATTAAATGTTTCAGGCACGAAAGTGGAGGAGGTGTTCCGTGTTCTCACCTTACGTTCAGAGCCCCGTGTGTAACGTTCCGATGTGACAGCATGCGTCATGCACTGCCTGTCATCCTGCACACGTGTGCAGCTCTGCTCCCGCGTCCCACTACTTACATAGCTGGCATTGTGTGTTCATCTGTGTCCAGTGTGGCATGTTACGTCAAGCTGGTTTACCTATTTTTGTGTGCGACTGATATTTGAAAATTTACTCTTAGCTATTTTCAAATTTAACTTTTAATTAGTTACCTGCTGTGCAGTAGATCTCAAAAACTTATTGTTCTCCTAAAACTTGCTACCCTGACCAGCAACTCCCTCTCGCCTGTCTCTTCTTTGAGGACTTTGGCTGTTTAGTTAAATGAGATCATGTGGTACTTGTATTTCTATGCCTGGCTTACTTTACTTAGCACAATGTCCTCCAAGTTCATCCATCTTGTCTGCAAATGAAACTTTGTCTTTTTATGGCTCAGTAGCAGTCCATCACATGTGCTTACCACATTTTCTTTATCCATTCATCCATCCGTGGGCACACTTAGCTCTTGTGAATGTCTACAGTTTGCATGTAGATGGCCCCAAAGCCTCATGCAGTCATAGGCGGGGCTTTTGGGAGCTGGCTGGATATAGGATGTGTGATGCTGGGATCCAGCATGTGAGTGCTTCTAAGGGTAGGCAGCCTGGATAAGACGTAAGGGACAGAAAGAGGCTGGTCACGCACTGGTCGCTTGCTCCTTATTGCTGCTACTGCTGTTCTGGCTGCTCTGCAACAACCCTCTGCCAGGCCACCCTTCCTTGGAGCCAGTTGATTATGGACTGAAACCTCTACAGACTGAGCCAAAATAACGTTTTCCTCCTTTAACGTTGGGTGTCAAGCATTTTGTCTTAGCCACCAGAAAAGAACCTAAGATATGAACGGTACTGTAACAGACACAGGAGCAGGGATCTCCTTTCAGGAAAGGATTTCAGCGTTATCACTGGCACATGGTGTTAGCTTCAGTTTTTCCAGAAAACTCGTTTTCCATAATGGTTCACACTCCCACCTGTGTGCAGTTCCCTTTTCTGCCCATCCTCACTGATGTGTATCGAGTTCCTTTTTCTTTTCCCACCCTTTTTTTTCTTCTTCCACTCTCCCCCATCTTGCTCTTCCTTCATCCTCCTCCTCCTGATTCTTTTTGATATTGGGGATGGTTCAATCCCAGGGCCGTTGCGTTAAGATACATCCCAGGTCCTTTATTTAAATGTATTTTTTAGTGAGACAGGGTCTCATTAAGTTGCCCAGGTCTGGACTGAATTTGTAATCCTCCTGCCTCAGCCTCCATGCCTGGCTTGTTACCATTTATCCTTTTGGTACCAGGGATCAAACTCGGGAACTTACATTTGTGAAGCAGGTGGCAGAATCACTGAGCTAAATCCCCGGCCCCCATTTATCCTTTTGATGAATCATTCTTGGAAGTATAAGGTAGTATTTGTGGTTCTAACTTCCATTTCCCAATGTTCAGTGATACCGAATATTTTTTCGTGAACCCGGGGGCCATTTGTGTCTTTTGGGAAATATGTTTGGGGTCTCTGCATTGTTTATTTTTGTTGCCTGGGATCAAACTCAGGACCCTGCTCTCGCCAGGCAGGCGCAGGGCCACTGAGCCAGATCCCCAGCCCTCTGCCCATTTTGAAATGAGATGGTTTTCTTACTCTTTACATATTTTGGATACTGACCCTTTATCGACCCCTACCCCTGGGTGTTTCTTTGCTTTCATGGCAGTTATGAGTTAAGCTGCTCTCTCTGCTCAGTCGTCCAGGCAGCAAAGGCTGTAGCTTCCATGCTCAAAGTGGGGGCCTGGCTGCTGCACATAACGCTGGCCACAAAGTGTATCTCTCCTCCTCGAAATTGTGGGTATCCAGCATTTTGTCCCGACAATAGAAGAATGAATATACTTACTGCTGGGGGGGGGGCTAATCATTCTTTTATGCATGGTTTCTCCGTCCTTTATTCATTTCAGTAATCTTTTTTTGTTTTCTTTTGGAGACAGGGTCTTGTTATGTAGTCTTGACCCTGACCTTCCTTCCGCTCACTGTGCAGAGAGGCTGGCCTCAGACACTCTGTGGTCCTCCTGCCTCAGCTTCCCAAGAGCTGGGATTACAGGCGTGTGCCCCCGCCCCCGCCTTGGTGAGGGTCCTTTAGCCTAGTCTCTCGGTCCTTGAAAACGTCTTTATTTTCATCTTGAATGATGATTCAGTTAGAAATAGGAATAGGCTGAAACTTACTTTTCTGTTTCCAGAGAACTACTGCAGATTGTCATTTTTAGGTAAGGGCAATCTGTCTTGTCTTTGTGGTTGATTTTAAGATTTTTCTCCTTGCCTTTTTCATTCTGCAGTATTTTCTCTTTGATTTATTGCATTTCCTAAAGTTGAAGATGGTCTTTGTTACTCTTAGCTATTATCACTTTTAATATTGCCTCATTGCTATGTGCTGTTCCCCTCCTAGAATTTCTACCGCATGTATATTGCATTTTCATTCACTCTGCCATGCCTTTTAGCACGTACTCTCCCACCACTACTCCACTCTTGGTAATTTCCCTCGCTTCATTTTTGTAGTTTCTTCACTGTCTAATTCTTTGTGACTACTTAAGTCTTGCCACTAAACTTTTCAGTATTATAATTTTCATTTCTAGAAGTTTAGTTTTTCGGAGGTTAGTTTCCTTCTCCTAAACGTTGTGAGTCACTTCAAATATACTTTACTTGCAGTCTCTACTTGATAAATTATCTGAAGTACTTGGGGGAGTTTAATCTCACTGTGGATAGCAACCTTTTCTTTGTTCCCCGTGTTACTCTGAACAGTAAGCTCAACTTCATTGGGGTTTTTGTGTATGGCTGACTTAAGGTGCAGCAATCTAGAAAGAAATCCTCCATGGCGAGGTACCCCAGAAATACCTTTCGTGAGCATCACAGGATTTGCAGACTGCACACATGGCGCGGATCTGAATCCCAAGGGGTGAGAAGGCAGATCTGTGGTGACAAGTTCCTGGGAGTTTTCTGTTCTCTGAGTCGAGGCTCCCACTGTGCTAGAGGGCAGACCCTTTTCCCTCCCAGATCCTTCCATCAAAGATGAATCTGATCTCAGTCCAATCTCGTATCTCTCAGGGCCCAAGATATTACCTGTAGGGCCCCTGTGTAACCTCTCCAACCCAGCCCCTTGGCTGGAGACTGGCCCCTGCCTCTTTTCCGGGCAGTCACAGGGCGCCACCCACACCACGCTACTCTCTAATGTCTCGTGCGGCCCGGCCCCCTGGGATCTCTCTCCCTGAACTCTCAGGTGCTTACTGTGTTTACCCAGCAACGCTGACAGGACTGCGGTGTCAGCCCTTCAGGCTGGGTCACTACCTGCCACAGGGCTGACGATGCAAGTCTGGAAAGATGCCTCACCTTCTCATTATGTCAGTTAAAAAATCCATCAGAACTGAGCACGACCATGACACTCAGCCGTGACTGAACTTCCTCCCTGCACTGCACCCCACACTGGAGGGGGTGAATCTCTCAAGTGACACCGGGCTGCTCTGGGTGTCCTCCAGCACACCTGAATGTGTCATTCATGCCCTCCTCGATGCTGGTTCTGTTAATCCGGATCTGGTGGCAGCTGTGTAAGACTGGTCACATTAGCAGACCAGAAGTAAAGCTCAGCAGGGTTACAGTAACTTCTCCAGGGTCATCGCAGTCACAGCTGAAACTGGCTATTAACCCGTTTCTCCCCCATCCCAGGGGTCAGTAAAGTCACTCTGTGTATTTTAGGTCTTGTGGGCTGCAGGGCTTGTTTATTCAGTTTTGTGCTGAAGCGTGAAAGGAGCTACTGGGAAACAAATGGCGTGTTTATGCCCCCGGAGCACTTAAACTCGATTTCGTGTCATTTTCACCTGTGACAAAATATATTTGGATGACACCCGTAATCCTAGCACTCAGGAGGCTGAGGCAGGAGAATTGCTGTGAGTTGCAGGCCAGCCTGGGGCTACATAGTGAGGTCAAGGCTGGCCTGAACTAATAGCAAGACCCTATCTTTAAAAAAAAAAAAAAAAGCTGAACTTCTCAATCATGTAAAAATGTGAAATCTATTCCTACTCACCAGTGATCCAAAATTAGGCAGCAAGCTGGATCTGGCCCTGGTCTGCGGACCACAGTTCCACACCACACTCACTCAGTTCTTGCAAGCCTGGCTTCCTCTTCTGGCTCAGGAGAGACATGGATGAAAGAGAATGGGACAGCAAGGTATAGTGGTAGACGCCTAAAATCCCCACTCTCAGGAGGCTGAGGTAGGAAGACTGCCCTGAGTTCGAGGCCAGCCTGAGCTACACAGTGAATTCAAACCAGACTGAACTACAGCAGACCCTGTGTCCAATCCCTGCCCCCCAAAATAAGTGGGACAGGGTTTAGAGCCAAGCTGGTGGTGGCACAGGTGCTGTCCCTTCACACCATGCTGTAACAATACACACTTGTCCAACGTTAAGGACCCTTTCTCGTGACTTAGCCTATATTTAGAAAGACATCATGAGTTAGTCCTTTAGGCTAATAGCTGATGTCCGGTAAGTGCACAGTATTTATTAGCTGACAGATCCTGGCGACCCTCCCTCTGGACCCTTTCTCGTGACTTAGCCTATATTTAGAAAGACATCATGAGTTAGTCCTTTAGGCTAATAGCTGATGTCCGGTAAGTGCACAGTATTTATTAGCTGACAGATCCTGGCGAGACTCCCTCACAGGAGGAGCGTTCACAACAAAACCCGTGGGCACAGTGAGCGGGTGGTTCCCCTGCACCGAGAGCCAGCGTTAGCCCATGTGTGTGATTTAACAAAGCCATCACTCCCCTTGAACTTAGTATGGATCAATCTGAAGTTCCCGTGTCCGTGTCTGTGTGTCTGTCCTTGCTTTGTGGCTGCAGCATCTGCATGTGAGCACTAAGTCCGCCTTCCTTCCACCCCCAGAACCACTTTGGCGACCTGGATGGCGGCCACTACACTGCTTTCTGCAGGAACTCAGCCACCCAGGCCTGGTACAGCTATGACGACACGCAGGTCAGTGAGATTGCAGACACTTCGGTTCAAACCACTACAGCCTATCTGCTGTTCTACAGCTGTGAGCCCTTCTCTAAACCTGTACAGAAATGCAAGAGCCAGGAAAAGGCTCCTTCCGGAAAAGTGCAAAACAATTGATCAGAAAGTGGTGGTGAGGCTTTGCTCCATCATTAAACTCTTCCAACTTACTTGTATCACTGGTGTCTTTTCTTAAAGATGGGTCTGTGCTTCGTGGATCAAGCAGGAAAATAATACAAAGCCAGTGGGTGGGGCCTCAAGGCAGTGATTCTTCAGTGAGTTCAAGTTCTAAAATTCAGCGTTTATTCTTACAGCTTTCTATCATAAAATATCTGTTACATGCATTCAAGTTTTAAAAAATGTTTTGGACACAGAATCTCACTGTGTAGCCCAGGCTGTCTTCACACTCATGGCAATCCTCCCGCCTCAGCCTTAGAGTTCTGGGATTACAGGCGTGTGCCACCACACCCAGCAGCAAATTGTTTTCTAAAGCAACTTCGTAGAGCTACCACCTGCCCCTGGGCTTGGGGATAGCTCCGTGGTAGACTGCTTGCGTAGCTTGTACAAGGCCCTGGGTTTGAGCCTCAGCACTGACAAATTTTTTTTTTGCTCAAATGGCTGTCAGCTTTTGAAAGTGACCTGAAAACACTGAGCCGAGATTCCAACACCTTTTCCACTTGCTCCAGAACAAGGTGTCAGCTTCACCTTTCACAATCCGGGCTCATGCTGCCCAAGGCCATGCTCACGTGCCAGTGTCCAGATGAGACGCCCCTGTCACCTCTTCACAGGAGGGCTGCACGTCTCCCACGCTGCAGACGGGCCGATGCCTGGCCCCGGGGTGACTCGTGATAGGCTGAGTCTGGGCATCGAGGATCACAAATGCTGCACACGGTTCTGGAGCCACAACTGAGAAGAGTGGAGTCGAGTTCTGATTCTACAGGGTCGGAGCTCAACTCAGAGCCCGAGTGGTGGGGTGCACAGGTAATGTGCATGCAAGCAGCCTAAAATCTAACCCAGCACAAGCCCTCCTGCCTGTCCTACACTGATCAAACCATTAAAGACAGAAGACTGACAGGGTTTACATTATTTTTCTCATTAAGATTTTAATGTAGTAATGAGATTCTTATTTTTAAAAAAATTAAAGAAAGTTATCCATATATTTTTTTAGAATAAAGATTTAGTGCATAAATACAGCCCAAAGCCAACAGAAAAATAGCTTTGCCCTGTCATTTCCCTAAGAAAGCATTGCAGTCACTCAGGATAGGCCAAAACAAACAAAAACGCAGTCGTCCTCTGAGCTGTAGGCATCACAGAAAGAGCACACGACTACGGGCACTGCGCCGGTGTGCAAGTGTGCAGACGTACGCACGCGCACCTCCCTACCTGCTCTGCCGTCCAGAGCATCACAGTGGCTCGAGCTGGGGTAGAAATGGGAAAAGGCCATAACAGTGAGAGGGAAAAGGAAGGTTACAGTGGTTCTTTGACCAGTAGTATAATGCTTTGCTAGTAAATTATCTTAACCTTGGAGCAGACTAAAAAAGTTGTGTTGAAGTAACTGGTACCTCTGAGGGACGCTTACCGCGATGCCTGCTAATGTTTCTCGTCAGTTCTGGTACCAGTGCTGGCCTGAATGACAGTCTAGTAACACAGCTCCCGGGCCTGGAATCCTCTACACGGCCCACCTGGCTACCTGTTACCTTGGGAGCAGTTCAGGGGTTGTGTGGCTGAGCTCTGGAGAACCTAACTAGCTGTCACCTATATCGCCTTATGTGGCGACATCAGCTGCTCGTGGTCCCAGTGATGTATAAAAGAGAATATACGCTGCTGACGACTTCACAGAAGAGACAGAGATATCAGAAACTTCGTGATCATCAAACTTAAACCACCGCTGTCTCGCTGCATTTTTACAGTAAGCAGTGTAATGGCCTCCGTCCAGCCCGCCGTAGTGATTCTGTGCAAAACAAGATGGACACCCGTGAGGACAGAGCCGGGCACTGCGGGCACAAGCTGCTCTCTCCGGTGTGCTGAGGGGCCACCCGGACTCCTGTCTTACTAGTTTGCTTGGACACAAGGTCTTGAGTTCAAGGAGATACTTACTGAAACGGAAAACAAGCTGTACTTCTTCAGACTGTTCTTTGGACCGATAACATACTGTGACAAATCAAGGTTTTCTAGTGGGAAGTCCACAGATGTCTGTAGTTTCTGCTTCCACCTGCCATCGTAGGAAAAACTGTAGAACAGAACGTTACAGGAATGATACTCAGACAGCAGAAAAAATCCTTACTCATTCAGCAGCTGGATTTTCAGCCATGACCTTAAAGTTCATTTCAAATCAAAGACCCAGAATTTTACAAATGAGGAAACTGAGGCGGTAAGAATTAAATGCTACATCAAGGTCCATCAGCTAGCACAGCAGAAGGGCCACACGAGGGTCCCAGACTCCTCTGCAGGCTGGGCTTGTTGGCAAGGCTTCTCCAGTGGTCACCCGCATGCCCAGAACATGGGCCACCACAGAGCATGCAGGAGAGCAGTTCCAGAGTCGGCGAGTAGGCGTGGGAAACCAGAGCCAGACACTGCAAGATAACGGCGTCCACTGCAGCACCCGGTTCCTTTACACCCCCAAATACGGAGGCCTCTCGGTGACACGGATTGAACCCCAAACTTTACATATGCAAGCCAACCACTTGCCCACTGAGCTACATTCACGGGCCCTGAATTATTGTTTAAAAATTGCATTCTGGGGACTACTGGGGTAAAAGAATGGGACAGAAAAGTATCCTTTGTGTGAAGCTGGGAGTAAGAAGAGATAAGATGTAGAAATAAGGAAACTCAGTGGTGCTGCTGCCTGCCTGGCAAGCACAAGGTCCCAAGTTCAATCCTCAGTACCAAAATAAGAAAAAGAAACTACAGGGGGTAATGAAGATACACAGTGAATATTTAAACTTTAAAAATGTATCGCACAGTAAAAGACATTGCCAACAATCCCCTCAAACCCGCCCTCATTTTGATCATATTTATCCCCTCGTCTTGTCACTTTCGGAAGCAGTTCTGGAGTCTTCCTTCCTGAGTGTCTTTATGAGGTGCAATAAAAAGTACACTGGATGCTGCTGTCCAGTGCCATGCAAAGGAAAGGCAGGCTGGGAAAGACGTGACACTGTGTCCTCATCCACCTTATCCGCCAGATGTGGCACTGTGCGACTTCAGGCTCTTTCCCAGGGAAAATGACTGACATATCGGAGAAGCACTTCGAATCATGTCAGGACACTGAGGGAGCATGACAGTGCAACTAAAGTCAGACAGTGACAAGAACAATGGCACGAGTGTGTTCAAAGTGAAGGGGGCTCTTCTGAGGGGATTCGTAGCAATGCGTCTTTTACTGTAATAAACTTTAAAATATTCCCTGTGTTTTTCAGTCACACCTCATATATTCTGAGGAAAGAGAGGAAAAGCTGTGGAGATCAAGAGGTGACAGTAAAGCTACAAAGTGTGTAAAGGCAACAGAGCAAAGTGCAAAGCAGCCCTCAGCGCCAACCTGAGGTGTAGGCAGGGAGAAGACCCACAGGCAGCCAAGGGCCTGCAGCAGTGGCAGAGGGCAAAGGCTGCGTGACTGCAAGCTGCAACCCCGCATGGGTGTTTACTGACTGGCTCCTTGTGCGGCAGAGGGCTTTGGATTGGAAAACCATGGCAGTGCTGGCCGTGTGTGTCTGGATGTTGCGACCAGGCGCCATCTGGGCAGGTTTATGGTTTGAAAGTAAGCGACTCGGGCCCCGAAGTCACAGAATAGCCACACTTCACCCTCCTGGTCCCTCGGACCCCCCGATGCAGTGTCAGGTTGGTTGCAGACCCTTGGGGAGGTGTGAGCTGCAGGGATCCGAGGCCGTGGAGGGCTGTGCGGTGAATGTGCAGAGACCAAGGCCCAGGCACTGACTGCCCGGCTCCCCTGCCACCAACATGTCTGGGCTGCACTGCTGGACACCTGCCGCGTCCACGGGCACAGACGGGGGCCTGTGCAGCAGTGCACAGCTCACCACGGGACGCAGGAGCAAACCCAGAAAGCCCCCACTGGGCGGCCACTGTGGACGCGAAGCGCCACAGGCTCCAGGGTGTCTCCCCGCTGCTCCTCCCCGGTCACACAGCTCCCAAAAACGTCACTGAGCCAAGCGCCTGGGCACAGAGGAGTCTCCTCCGACTCCTTCCTTTTTTACCCCATTTACTTGTCTTTATCTATGATTTTTATCTACTGTACTTATTTTTAATTGTCTTGTATCTTGTTACTTCTCTTTCTTCCTTTTTAAAAACCACTTGCTAGAAGAGGGAGGGAGAAAAGAAAGGACAAGAAAAAAGTGAAAATAGAAGGAAAAATGGAAACAAAGATTTTGTACGTAGGGAGGGGAAGGGCTTCAGCGGGGGCAGGGAGAAAATTAAAAAACAAAACAAAACAAAAAAACACTTGCAGGCAACGGTTCCACTGCCTTCCTTGCAAGCGCAATGCCCGGTACCAAAAACAAACAAACAACACTTGCTGCTGCTCCCACGGTCCCGCCACCCCACCCGACACCTCAGACTTTGATTTGGTGCTATCTGGGCCTTTTCGTTCACATTGCTGCTGCCTGCCCTTCCACGGTGCAGGTGGTACGGCTGCTGCTTCTCACTGTACGTCACACTATCTGGTCTGTCAGTGTGGCCACTGCTGCAGAATGTCTCTTCCTCTCTGAGCGAACTGGGGCTCAAGCCCTCAAAAGCAGGCTGGTCACTCAGAAGACCCCCATGTCCATTCTAAAAGAGACAAAGCTCAGTGCAATCACAGGAAATAGGAGAAACGAGGCATCACGACTCCTCCCATGTCCCTAACTCCTCAGTGAACGAGTGCGAAGTCAGCAAAGCAGATGAACACCAAACACCAAAGAATTGAACAGTTCAAGGAGGATACAAATCTACAGCTGAGTAAATTAAAGAAGACAATGCAGGACATGAAGAAACACTCCGGCAGAGGAGGATCGTAAAGAGGACGCCAACAGAAATCTTGGGGGCTGGGGACATAGCTCAGTGCTGCCGCACCTGCCTCACAAGCACAAGGTCTGGAGTTTGATCCCTGATACTGGGAGGAAAAAAATCTTGGATAAAAAACAACAAAAAGCTTAGCAGAAGGCATCACCGTACACTGGATCAAGCACAATACAAAATTTCAGGTTTCAAAACAAGGTTGATGAATTATAAAGAAATAAAGTGATCATCCAAGGACTCTGGGACACAGTCAAAAGACCAAACTTTATTAAGAACTTTTCATGGAGAAAAAGGTACCAAGGGAAAGACTAAAGGTACAGAAAATATATTCAGTGAAAAAAAAAATAGAAAATTTCCCAAATCTTAAAAAAGATAAGGACTTGTAAGCACAGGAGGCACAAGGAACCCCAAACAGGCGTGACCAGAAAAGAACCTCCCCATGTCATATCATAGTTAAAATGCCAAGAATACAGAACACGGAACAAATAGTGAAAACTGCAAGAGAAAAAGGCCAAGCTGCTAATAAGACAAATCTATCAGAATTTCCCCAGATTTCTCTGCAGAAACTATAAAGGACAGCAGGGCACAGAATATGTATTTCAAGTAAAAAAAAAAAAAAAAAAAAAAAAAAAATCAAAAACAAAAACAAAAAGTTGCCAATCTAGACTACTATAACCAGCAAAGCTAGTCTTCAGAACTGAAAGAAAAATAGACCTTCCAAGGTAAGTATAAACTAAAGGAATTCATGATCATTAAGCATAGAAGAAAAAGGAACCTTATACATAGAAGAGGTAAAACAGATAAGCAAGTGAAAATTAGGAGAAAATCCAACACTAGAAAAACAACAAAATGACAGGAATTAGTGTACATCTTTCTGTAATAACTAAATGTAAATGGTATTTATTCTTCAATTAAAATACATAGACTGGCCAACTGAATTAAGAAACAAGACCCAGTCCTTTCCCGTCCGCATGGAACACCAGCAGAGACATACACACAGACTAAAAGTGAAAGGATGGAAAACGACATGGCATGGAACGAAATAAACCTGAAAGCTGGCAAAAGTAGCTGTATTCACATCCTACAGAGCAGAATTCAAGACAAAATTAGCCAGAAGAGATAAAGAAGGCCACTACCTATTGGTAAGGAGAAAAATCCACAAAGATATAACAATTATAAACACATACACACTTAACATTGGTATACCCAATTGCATGAAATAAACAGTACTTGACACAAAGGCCCCCTTCACACTGGGTGATTGCAATATCCCAATATCCACTCTTACCCTTTGGATAGGTCATCTAGATCAATCAATCAATATCAGTTAAATTACAACATATGTCAAACGAACTTAACAGTTACCTATAGAACACTGAATTCAACAACTGCAGAAGACATTCTTTTCAGCAGCTCATGAAATGTCAAACTACTTAACAAATACAAAAAATTTAAAAAATTCCTCACAACATTATGAAATCATCAGATGAAATAAGTAAATAGCAAAAGAAACTATACAAACATACAGATTGAACAATTCACTTGGGTCACAGGGTAAATCACAAAAAATTTAAAATTCATTAAATCAAGTGAAAATGGAAACAGCATACCAGAATCACTAGGATCCAGCACAGGCAGTTCTAAGAGGCAGAAGTTTCTGGCTATGCGTGCCTACCTAAAATAAACCAATGATATATCTCAAGGTCTTAGAAAAACAAGAACAAACCAAACAACCCAGTAGAGAGAATAAAGAACAGAATTGAAATTTACTGAAATAGAGACTAAAAGAACAATACGTAGGATCAGTGAAACAAAGAGTTGGTTCTTTGAAAACATAAACAAGGCTGATACCCTCATCCAGACAAAAAGAGAAAAAAGACAAATTAACACAGTTGGAGATAAAAGGGGAGATGTTACAACAAATAACTGCTAAAATCCAAAGGATCGCTTTCAAAAGAAAATACATTACAGTAAATTGGGGAATCTACAAGAAATGGACAAACTTGTAGGGGATATGACCCACTAAAGCTGAATCGAGAGGGCGTAACCTGAAGAGATAAGTAACAAGCCGTGAGACTGAAGCAGCAAGAACAAATGTCCCAACAAGGAAAAGCCCAGGACCATACAGACTCAATGGTGATTACCAGATCTGTAAAGAAAAGCTAACGTCAACTATTCCATGAAACAGTGAGGGGCCGAACTAATTCTACAGGACTAGTGTCATTACTGTCCTGTAAAGCCAAGTAAGAACATAACAAGGAAAATTACTGACCACTACTGTTGAACAGTACAGAGGGGGGGACCCTAAATAAAATATTTGCAAACTGAATTTAGCGAGACATTGATAAGATCATACATCATTACCAAGTTGGTTTCATTTCAGGGATGTAAAGATGGTTCAACATATAAAAAAATTAATGAAAGTAATATAACCCAAAAATAGAATCAAGGATAAAAATACATTATTTTAATGACACTGAAGAAGCCTCTGATAAAATAGGTATTGAAGGATCATACTTCAATATAACACCTATCAACATTTTTAAAAAATGAGAATTAGCAAAGAAACACTAGAAAAAGAAACTGACTGGGGAATTAGCTACTATATACACCAATAATGAACAAGCTGAGAAATCAGGAACAATTCCATTCACAATAGCTTTACCCATGCCTCAAAAACAACCCACAAAAAAACTCCTAGGAATCAGACTAACAAAGAGGTGAAATACCTCTATAATGAAAATTACAAACACTGAAGAAAGAAATGGAAGACATTAGAAGATAGACAGAATTAAAATTGTTAAAATGGCCCATATTACCAAAACTGATCTAGGGATTTGGTGCAGTCCCCCATCAAAATTGCGATGACATTCTTCACCGAACTGTAAAAAACAACGCTGAAATTCACATGGAAACACAAAGACCCAGAAGAGCCAAAGCAGTCCTGGGCAAGAGGGATAAGACTGGTGGCATCACAATTACATCAAACCACATCAGTTTAAAGGCTGCTGCACAGCAAAGGCAAACAGGCACAAAGAGACAGCTACACATCAGAAGAAAGTCTCTGCCAGCTACTTTTACGGCAGAGAATTAATGTGCAGAGGCCATAAAACTTAACACCAAAAAGGAAGAAGCCCAATCAATAAATGGGCTTGACTAGCCACTTCTCAGAAGTAAAAATGGCTAGTACGTTTATTAAAAAATTGTTCACCATCTTTATTTATCAGGGAAATGCAAGTCAAAACCACTGGTTTTTCATCTCACCCCAGTCAGCATGGCTATATTCAAGACTAGAAAAGCCAATAAATGTTGACAGGCATGCAGGGTAAAAACCCTTCTGCACTTGTCAGTGGGAACAGAAATTATTAGCTTCTACAGAAACCAGTATGGAGGTTCCTCAAAAGCTAAAAATACAACTACCATAAACCCTGCTCCACCATTCCTCAGTATTTACCCAAAGGAATCAGTCAGCATACTTTAGCGTTACCTGCACATCCATCTTTACTGCAGCACAGCTGACGAGAGCCAAGACAGCTGGCCCGGGTGAGCATCGGTGGATGAACAGATAAAGGAAATGTGGGGTATGACTCAGAATAAGGAAAGAAACTATGTCAGCTACAGGAAAATGGACAGACTCGAGATCATCTACCATGTTAAGCAAACAAGCCAGACCTAGAAAGACAGGTACCGTATATTTTCCCTCACATATACTAATCTTTATAAAAGAAACAAAGAAAAAGATGATATGAAAATACAAGTACCGTTATTATCAGACAACAGGAAGCGAATTGGGAGGGGAAAGGAAGTGTAAAGGAGGGCAGTGTGGGGATGAATATGATCAAAATATGGTACATGCATGCATGAAATACCACAGTGGAACCTAATTTTGGAAAATTAATATGCACTAATAAAATACATTAAAATACTAAAATCTGAACCAAATATATTTTTGGTATCCTTTAATAATAATGTTCAACAATTAAGCTTTTATCAGATCTGTAGTCGACTTATATCACGTTTACAATGCCCCAACCCTCAAAAGAAAAACTGATAGAACACGCTTTCATTAGACCTTTCACAAGAGAAATCTGAACACGTCCACATTGAAATTAACGCAAGCAACTGCCTAGGAGTAGCTAATACAAATAGAAATGTTTTGTTTGAAACAAAAATGACACTGCTAAATAAAAAGAAACTTCTTTAGAAAGATTTTAAAAATTGACTCAAAGTCACCACTCCACAGATGGATTACACAAACACAGAAAGAAAATGAGAGCAAAAGATCTGGTGTGTGTTTTATAGTCTCTATCATCAGTCCTTCTGTTATAGGACCAGCTGTTTTTTACTGGTTAAAAAAGTCCAAGCCAAAACCATCTGCATCTCACACTGGGATCATTAACATTTTATCTTTAAAATTATACTTTAAAAACCAAGTATCTCATTTTAAACACTGTTCTTCGTATGCTCTGTTTACTGCTACTGTATTTTGTTAGAATTACACTGCACGTGCATACAGTTCCACGTGATGTACGATGCTGTCGTTGGCTGCACTGACCCGACAGGCGTGACGTAGTGACCCTGGCACACGTCGTCACTTCTGCCTCACGTCTCTAAGATATGCACAATAACCCAAACTTCCTTAGCAGGCAGGGCAGTACACGTAACTTTGGACAAGACGCAAAGTTCCTTCCTCTAAATCTTACTGAACAGGAAAAAACCAGCTTGGTTACCGTTTCAGATGCACCAAAAGCACGGGTGGCAACTTCCAGATTTCTATCTTTTTGAGGGAATCCCGCCGAGCTCTGCAGTGACTGCAGTAAAATCTGTTGTTATCTGTGAGCTTTTCTTCTTTGGAAAATAATCTAAGGCAGTCCTGGTAGAAAGAACAAGCAGCAGACAGACAGTAATTCGTTCACTAGTACAGCATCAGAGAGCACCTCTTCAGTAACCCACCCTGCAGGAACAATGAGCTCAAACGGCTCTAGCTCCCCCAAGAGGTGCAGCCCAGTAAAGGGCATGGCAGGGGCCGTGACCTAGGACTGCACAGCGCTCTCACACTGAGCCTGGCAGGCCAGGGAAGACGGGAAGGGATGTGCTGCAAGAAGCAAGACTACATGCACCAAGGAGCCTGAGTATAAATCACACTCCTGCTGTGTGCACACCAAGGTACTGACTCAATATAAAAAGTAGGCCTAAGGGAGCTGGGTGTGATAGTGCACACCTGTAATCCCCGTACTCAGGGGAGGACTGTTGGGTGTTTGAGGCCAGCCTGGGCTACGTAAATGAGTTCAGGGCCAGTCTGAGCTACAAAGGGAGACCCTGCCTCAATGTCTTCCCCCACCGCCAAAAAAAGGTCAACATAGGATTTTCCAAATTAACTTTCACTTCTTAAAAATACAAATTTTTATGGGGTGGAGTGCAGCTCAGTGGCAGAGCGTTTAATATGCACAAAGCAAAAGGGACAGGAAGAAGTGGAAGGGAGGAGGGAGACAGCAACTCAGAAGTCACCTTTAAAAAGGAACACTTCTGCTCTTTCTACCAAGTGATTATGGAGGAGTGACGAGGAATGAACTGCTGGCCAAAGCCCATCTCTATGAGCAGCATTTTATCAACCGAGCACCTCTCTTCGTTTGAAGCTCACCTGTAGTGTGCATTTACTTGTGGACGCTAGTGGCAGAGACAAATACATGAAGGCCTCGAATGTCCTGGACTTTTTGTGACAGGTGAGGCACTGTACTGTGGACTTGAACTGACCCTGGAACAAGGCGACAATGATGGACTCATTGAGCTGCTTGTGCTTCTGCCAAGCGCGTTCTGCAGCTCTGAAGTCATCGAGATGATCATTGTTCTCTTCTTTATGTCTCTTCCGGTTATCGGCCTGGAAACACGATTATTTAAACCCTATATTAATTAATTAAAAGACAACACTTAAATATGTAATTGAAAGATTCAAATACTTTCCCAATTTGAAAATGTCATGAAGGAATTCTGATCATATCCAGTGCTACAAAAAATAATTCCAGGGCTGGGAATTTAGCTCAGCGGTTCGGTGGCCTGCCTTGCAAGTGCAAGGACCTAAGTGCAATCCCTGGTACCCAAAAAAAAAAAGAAAAAAATTCCAAAATCCAGCCAAACACAGAAACTCCATTTTATTGAAAAGGGTGTAACCTGAACCTGTTAGAATTTCCATATACATATGTTTTGGGTTTTTTTGGTACTGGGGATCAAACTCGGGTCCTTGTGCTTATGAGGTAGGCAGCAGAACCACCGAGCTAAATCCCCAGCCCTGTATTTTTTTAAGTAAAAAAAGCTGAAAAGTCTAGTTTTGAAAAAACATCCCACATAGAGCTGAGAGTTAGGGGAGCAACCAGATGTCATTTCACTGTCCTGGCCTCATAAATGAAGACATTATATAGCCACCTATTTTGGATAAAGATGTTTACACACACACACACACACAATCAAAATCAGCAAGCAGTAGCATTGTGATCCCACAGCTATCTGAAAAAAGATGACAACTTGGTGTGCTAAAAGAAGTGATTGTATATAAATCTGTATAGAGATGCATGTCTATAAAAACCATTAATGTGAATTACCTGGTTACATGAGATAATTCTTAGTGTAGAAAATAAGTATAAGAACACAGCATAGGGTGATATGTACAAATAATATAATAAATGTGCAATAAAATAAATACAAAATGAAGCTATTCCAGCTCTCTTTTATAGAAGCATATCAAAGATTTTACAAGTGGGTCATGTATAACAGTACCAGTAACTGATTTAACATTTGCAAACTGCTCAGCAGTCTACCTGATAACAGATCAGTAAATAATTACATACACAAATTCAAATACAGATTCAACATCTTTAATCTCAAAATCCAAAATGCTCCAAAATCAAAACTTTCTGAGCACCAACATGATGCTATAAGTAGAAAATTATCCACCAAGAAACTGTTTCATGTACAAAATTATTTTTAAATATTGTATACAACTTAATGCTGTGTAAGATATACATGAAACATAAATGAATTTTGTGTTTAGAATGGGGTCCTATCCCCAAGATATTTCATCACATATAAGCAAATATGCCAAAATCCAAAAAATCTGAAACCCTAAACACATCCAGCAACATTTCACATAAATGTTCACTTATTAGGTATTATGTGGATCAGACAAGGAGTGTGTTATAGTCTCATGCTTTAGTACAAAGTCGCTGTATCTAATAAAGTACCACTGCATACTCAGCAACTAGAGCTCAAACTGCTATAAAAATGGTGGCAGTGCTACTGAGCACCCTAAGGAGATTGGAAACTTAGAATATCAAAAGTCTTACTTTATTGAGATCTTCATGGAGACCATCCATGAGGAAGAGGAGCAGTTCTTGTGAATCTTGCTGGCTATATCCTGCAAACTGGTCATTGATCTTCCCGATGGTGATTTTAAAGTCTTTTGGGCTGATGTACCTATACTGACCTGTCCATAGGGCTTTCATGATTATACCAAACTCTTCTGCCACTTCTCCTTTATGCCCCAACAAATTTGACCTGTGCCAAAAAAAAAAAAAAAAAAAAAAAAAAAAAATTCAAGTCACTAAAAAAGCAATAAAGGAGAATTTCTAAAGGACAGTGGGTTCCTAATGTCAATATTAAAGCACTCACACGCTACAGCCCCACATGAACACACCTGCGGGTTTATCACTCTGCTTACAGTTTCCCTGCCTGGTATGTTCTGGCCACGAGTCTGCCCTCCCCGCTGACCAACACGTTGCAGTTTTATGACACAGAGTTTCTGCTTTCTCCTACTGCTCTTCTCAACTCTTTCAGAGCTGGTTTTCCTCTACATTTTTCTAGTGAATAAATGGATTTTCCCTTTTCCAAAGTATACTTCTTTGGAGCTGGGTGATAGGGGCTCTGGTTTGAACATGTGCCCTCCAAAATTTAGGTGTTGCCAGTGTCACAGTGTTTGGAGGTAGGGCCTTCTCTAATTCTAGTACTGGGGAGGCTGAGGCAGAAGGATCACAAGTTCAAGCCAGTCTCAAAACAAAAACTAAAACAGGTTGAGGACGTAGCTAACTGACAGAGCACTTGCTTGGCATGCACCGAGCTCTGGGTTCAATCCCCAATACTGCCAAAAAATAAAGAATAGACAGGACCTTAAGAGGTGATTAGGTCACAGGGCTTCTCCCTCAAGAATGAGCTTAGTGCACTTAGAAAGGGGCATGACAAAGGAGCTCCTCCTCTGCCCTTCCATCTGCTAAGTGACGACACAGCAAGAGGCCACGACCACAGGGTGGCATCTATGGACTTCATGGTCTCCAGAAATACGAAAATAAATTTCTGTTCTTTATAAATGACCCAGTCTCAGGTATTTCGTTGAGCAGCACAAAACAGACTAAGACAGGAAGTACGGGTAGGCTTTCCTTCCACAATATATTGCAGACGTCAGATACATATTCACCTGTTAATATCATCCTGGTAACAGTTCCGATTGAAATAATCAGCCAGATGTGGAGCATTGCACAGGCACTGCAGGATGGAGTTCATGTAGCACGTATTTCCTAAGTTCCGAAGTCCAGTGAGGGCTGGTCCGGACCCTCCAAAGACAGGATTGAGGTTTCGGATCTGAGAGGCGGAGAGCCTGGAGATCTCGGCTTTAGGGTAGCATGTTGGCCTGAGCACGGGGAGATACGGGACACAATGAGAGGCAGAACACCTGAAACTGAGGCCCACACGACCAAGGGCAGCAGCTTAGCACCAGGCCTCAGTACCCTTTGTCAGTAAGCGTGCCAGTGCCTAACCTTACAGCCCCCAGTACCCAGGACAGGCCTCTGCCTGTGTCCGGAATCTGCCCTCCTGACCTCTTTGTTTCTAGAAGGGCCCTGAGACAGATTCTGTAGTTTCCTGTGAATTAGGAGCTAAAGAACAGAGGCTCTTTCTAACACTTTCAAATGATCCCCGGGAGATTAGCATTTAAAAATATTTGAACTCAACCAGAATGCCAAAGAATCAAACAACATTTATTACTGGAGAGCGACATCAAAGGAGGCAGAGGCTATCTGGATAGTATTACTGAAGTCTAGGGCTGAGATGACCACAGGGGGTTGCTCTAATGCTCGGGAAACAATGACTGGCCAAAAACGTCTGCATCTGTTCAGTACTAACATTTTTTTTCTTAGCAACAAGGGAGACTTCTTCTTGGCCAAGAATCTTAACAAATATTTTTAATCCGTGGCTGGATGACACCATGGCTGCAGAAACCAGGGCTGTATTTCCGTCTATTCCCCTCCTCCTCTCAAACGTAAAGATTAGAAGTAGCAGGCACCTCACACCCTGTTATAAGCCAGGGGCATTAGACTCCAAGGGCAGAACCCAGGGAATCATCTGGATCAGACACTCCCGGGGGAACGTGAGTGGACACTGCTCATGACTGTGGACAGAGCCGCAGAGCACAGAGGAGCAAGGGGCAGGAGGAGCGCAGAGCAGACACCCTCGTGCCCGCTGCTTCAACACCGCAGGGCAACCTGACTCTCACGTGACTGGCCCGAGGCTGCAGCAGTGCACACTCAGCACTGCGATCCCTACCTTAGGGTCCTCGGGAAACTGAGCATCACAGGAAGTCTAGGGGAGTCGGGGGTCCTCTATGGCACAAGCGCTGTGAAGTGTGACACGGCGGTAACATGTTTTTATCTTAATACTTCCGATAACCTTGCCTGTCTAGTAAGCTATCATTTGGCAGAAAAACCAAGGATATTTTCACTACCTTTTTCTCCATGGTAAGTACCAGTGGTTGGAATGGCATCCAAAGCAATTTCTCACGCTTAACAGTGATCTGTCTGGAGCAGAGGTATTAAAACACAGCACCTACATTACCTGAGCTGGAGGCGTCAGGCAGACTTACTTGTTCTCCCGATTCACAGCCGGCGTCACTGTGGGCTTCCGCCTCTCCTCCTCCTGCACAGCCTGGGTGATGTCCGGGGAGGAGTAAGAGCGCTTCAGCTTGGATGGCTCCCGGTCCCGCTCAGCAGGAACCTGGGGCTTGGCCTTGTGAGTCGGAGGGGTGGAAGGAGGAGCCGAGGAAGGAGCCATTTCTGGCGGGTACATGTGGACAGTGTTGGTGGGTGAATGATAGTAACGGAAGGTTCCAGTGATCGGGTCCAGAAACTTAGATACAAAAGGAAAAAATGAAGGTCAAAGCCCGAAAATGACCATTCTATAGAAATAACTTATTTCAAAGTATTCCAGCTACACCGCCAATACCTAAAATAGTTTGAATAAAATGGTGACAATCACTTCTCTAATTAAACTTCCAAAGAAGTGTAGGTTTAGAGTGACCCATTATGATTATGACTGTGATTACATGGTACTGAGGACTGAACTAAGGGCCTCTCACTGAGCTACACACCCAGACTTTTTTATTTTTGACTCACAGTCCCACCAAGATGCCCAGGCTGGCCGCAAACTTGCAATCCTCCCGCCTCAGCCTCTCACTGTGACACCACATACCTGTGGCGGCCAAGTGTGCCCCCACATCTGGCACGTAACACCCCATTTCTAAACAGTACTGCCAGAAGGATCATGCATTGCAGCCAGAATCCCAGGCTGGGTAGTGAGAAATCTAGTCCTAATTGGGAGAATTACACTCTTACACTGAAAACAGAGAACTGCCTCTCCATTCGGGGAGGGGAGAAGGCAGTTAAAGAACCTGGTAACCACGTTACGTACCTTGGCCCAGCCGGAAGGCAGTCCCGGGACGATCCTACCCATCTCTTCACTCCGTGCTCTTGTCAAAGGCTCCCGCTGAGTCTGTTCGAGGGGAAAAGTCTGATTTTCAATTAAACGTTGCCGTATATACACTTAGGTACATGCGCTGGCTGCAGGAAGCCTAGAGAATCCTGAGCCTCTCTTGACATGCTACGTTTCCTCCTATCTCTGCACTCCCGTGATAAAGCTTAACCTAGAAATCAGGCACAGTAAGAAATTAACCACAGGGCCGGGGATTTAGCTCAGTGATTCTGTGGCCTGCCTTGCAAGCACAAGGACCCGAATTCGCTTGATCTTAGCCAAAAGGCCGAGAAGCGATAAGGACCCGAATTCCATCCTTGGTACCAAAAAAAAAAAAGAAATTAACCATAAAGAGAAAAAAAAACCAATTAATACAATATACTATTATAAAAGTCATTGAAAATGTACTGTTTATTTCGGTGAACTTCCATTTAATACTTTCAGGATATGGTTGAACCTGAGTAACTGAAACCAAAGAAAGAGGAAACAGAGACCAGGGGAGACTACAGTATATATAAAAATTAAGTTAAAATGGACGCAGATCTACTTGTAAGAACACTACAGGATTTTTAAGAAGAAACAAAAGAAATTCTTTATGACTTTGGGTTAGGCCTGAGTCAAATAAAAAAACTGGCAGACTGGACTTGCCCACAAATACATCTGTGCTTGGTAAAACTCCACTGAGAAAATATAGGCATGGTGGCACACACCTGTAACCCCAGCACTCTGGGAGGCTGAGGCAGGAGGATGGCAAATTTGAGGTCAGCCCAAGCAACTGAGATCCTGTGTCAAAATTAAAAACAAATAAAAAGGGTTGGGGATGTAGCTCAGTGTGAAGGCCCTAGGTTCAATGCCTGGAACTGAAGAAAAAGGAAAGCGGGGTGGGGTAGGGGGAGCAGAGAAGGAAAACCATGAGGTAGAAACCACATTTCTAATAAAGGATTTGTATCCAGAATATTAGAAATTCATACAACTCAGTGAAAGCTGACAGTAATCCAATCTTAAAATTAACAGTCTTGAGTACGTATTTCACCAAAGAATATAACCATTAAGGCCTATACTCATACGAGAGAATGTGCAATACCATTAGTCATTAGGGAAATGCCTATTAAAGCCATGAGCTACAACCTCACACTCATAGAATGCTGACAACAAAGAACAGTAAAAGGGCCAGCCAGAGATTTAGCTCAGTGGCACTACACCTGCCTTGCAAGCACAAGGTCCTGAGTTTGATCCCTGGTACCAAAAACAAAACCAAACCAAAACAGTAACAATAACTGGCCAAGATATAGACAAATGTCTCTATCAACTAATGAGTAAAAGGATAACACGGGGGCCAGGGATTTAGCTCAGTGGTTCTGCCGCCTGCCTTGCAAGCACAAGGACCCGAGTTCAATCTCCATCTCTGGTACCAAAAATAAAGATAACAGGCTGGGCATAGTGGCGCACACCTGTAATCCCAGCACTCGGAGGCTGAGGTAGGAGGATCGCTGTGAGTTCGAGACCAGCCTGGGCTACATAGTGAGTTCCAGGTCAGTCTCAACTACATAGTGAGACCCTGTCTCAAAAAACAAACAAACAAACAAACAAAAAGATATAACTAAACAGATAATGGAAATAATAACCAAAATGATCCAAGAGCTTTCAAAAGACACTAATAAAAAACTAGCTGACCTAAACAAGATTATACAAAACACAAATGACCAGTTTATAGTTAAACAAAGAATTAGTGTCAATGAAAAGGTTTCCATCAGAAATCCAGAAGATTAAAAATTATATTGAGAAACTATGGGCAGCAGAAGCTACCAATGTGAGGACAGAATTTCAGAACTAAAAGACAATGATGCTTTCAAAGACCAACTACTCAAAGATACCTTAAAAGCAACAAAAGAACATGAAAAATGGATCCAACAGCTGCTAGATGCCACAAAGAAGACTACTCTGAGAGTAAATGGAATAAGTGAAAAAAATCAAAAGACAATACAAATGGCATTAAAAAAGCCTATTCACAGAAATAAAGACAGGAAACTCCCCAGATATAAAGAAATAAAATCCAGATAAGTTAGGCATATGGAATCCCTAAGAGCCATGACTAAAAGAGAACTTCTCCATGCCACATTATACTCAAAGTCTCAGAAGTCCCTCACAGCGGCAAAAACTTAAAAGCTGCTTAAAAAAGGCATTGAATAGCGTATAAAGGCAAACTCATTAAAATTACAGCAAATTCATCTACACAAACCTTAAAGACCAGGAAGACATGGAGCGAAATGTTTCAAGCCTTAAAATATAACAACTTCCAACCCCAATTTATTTATCCTGCAAAACTTTTCTTCAAAACTGAAGGAAAAATAAGGTATTTCCACGACAAGGAGCATCTCAAGAAATTCATGACCACCAACCCAGCATCACATAAAATCTCAAGTAGATCCTAGAAAGAGACAAGTCAACAATGCCAACAAGTCAAGAAGAGTGAATATACCTGACACAAGAAGTAATACCAAGAAACAAATGAGATCAAACCAAATTAAAAAGTTTCTGGACAGCAAAGGAAATCGGAGTTAATCTGTGTTTGATAATTAATTTGATAAAGACTTATAAAGTAAATAAATTTAAATCTGATGCCAGCAAAAAATAAAAAGTATACTCTATTTTACTGTCAAATTCAAAACACATACTTTGGATGCAATTACTTACCATTAAAAAGAAAGAATTGGAAAGTTTTCTTTTGTTTTGGGGGGGTACCAGGGATCGAACTCAGGACCTTGCACTTGGCGAGGCAGGCGGTGGAAGCACTGAGCTAAATCCCCGGCCCCTTGGAAAGTTCTGATGAATTGAAAAGCAAAGCAGACTGTGAGGCATGGGTTCATAATATGAGGCCAAGGATAAAGTGCTAATAGTAAGTGCATATTTAGCACCACCAATACTCTTTCATTTCAATCCCATGATTCTGGTTACCTTGAGAGGGGATGTGCTCCAAAAAATTTCAAGTATTAAAGAGAATATAAAATGTTATACAGACCAAATTTAAGAAATGCAAAACCCATTTTTACATCTTCTTATACATCACAGGATCTTTAAAATAATTCACTTTATCTTTTTTATCTGAACAGGGGAATCACACTCAGGACCTTGCACTTACAAGGCAGGTGTGGTGCCACTGAGCTAAATCCCCAGCCCTACCTTGTTTTTAAAATGATGACAGTAAAAACTTTATTAGCAATACTTTGAACAAAATTTATTCTAGAATAAATTACAGACTGCTTCTACTTTTAAAAGGAACATATATGTTATATAGGGAGAGTCCAAAGCCAGGTCATGACAGGGTTATTTAGATCTGCAGGAATATTAGGCACTCAAAACATAAATGCTTTGCGTTCCAAACACTGCTTGTTGGTAATATAGCAAAGTGAAATTAAGCAGCTTGGGACTGCCTATGTGATTTTAGGCAAACACTTAAATGTCTAAGCATCAGCTTTACTTGAAAATTAAAGACCCAAAGAGGTGACTGTTATGAGTAAGACAGTGTTGGAGAACTATCCAGCATACTGCAGGCACTCAGCAAATAAATGTTTAAATGGTATCTTGAGTAACAGGTGTAAGTTCTGATTTCCTATAAAATCAGAATGTAAGTATGTGGGCTTCATTCCCCAATCTGGGGTGTTTAGCAGGTTTTCGGACAGCAGCTCTATGTTTTATACTATAGGTTACCAGATACCTGTTCCCTGAGTCAGTTCAGCATTGGTATGGGTTGTTAACTGTGGTAACTGCCATTCTGTAAGATGGTGCTTTGCCTCCCATCAAGTCATTTTCATACTACTAAAAAATGTTATTCCACTTACATGTCCATAAAAGGACATTTTTAATTGTTCCTGCATTTAAAAAATGTAGTATCCAAAGGGAAAACGCACTTTTTTTTTTTTTTTTTTGGAAAGGCACTATTAATTGCCTAGTGAAGAAAAAAGGAAAGTATGACATCATTACATTAAAAAACAATAACAACAAAAATGTCCTCTGAAATTATGGGAATTCATTTTGGGTGGGTAGCCAAGAGCAGAAAAAAAGGCAAGAGTAATTGGGTTCTCACCAATATTATGTGAGGAGATAAAGCTAGAAATAAAATGACACCAACCTGGCCCACAGTATGGTTCTACGTGAAGATAAAGGCCTGGCTTTCTCCCTTCTCCTGGGGATGAACTGAGGGCTGCTTCACACCTGAGCCGCATGCCCAGCAGCTCTTTTTATTATTTGTCTCAGTCAGGGTCTCACTAAGTAGCCCAGACTAGGCTCGAACTGGTGATCCCCCAGCCTAGGCCTGCGCCACAGTGCCCAGATGTTGGGCTACTTTGACGCCACTGATTTTGCACGCATTCTTGGCAGATATAAACTTTATCACACAAATATTGCCAATGGGCTGGGGATTTAGCTCAGTGGTGCCACCACCTGCCTTGCAAGCTCAAGGACCTGAGTTCAATCCCCCGTACCAAAAAACAAAACAAAACAAAACAAAAAGAGCAAACAACAAAAAATAAAAGCAAAAAAAAACAGTATTGGCATCTAACTTCTCAATACAGAGAAGATTAAATTTTGATGAAAATACATCAAACGTAAACATGAAGAATGTAGCTACTTATCGCAGTTACTAAGAATGCACTGCATTTCACGGACATGAAGTCCACTGCCAATCAATCATTTAAAGTACTACAGTAGAGCAGGTGCTGCGTGTGGCAGTGCACCTCTATAATCCCAGCTACTCAGAAGGCTGAGGCAGGAGGATCCAAGTTTGAGCCAGCTCAGATAATTCAGTGAGGCCCTATCTCAAAACAGAATTTAAAAGGGTCTGCGACATAGCACTAGAGTGCTTGCCTGGCAAGCCTGAGGCTCTGAATTCAGTGGCCAGTATTGACAAAAGCCAAAAACAAACATAGAACCAGCAGAGCAGGTGAGCGTGTGTGGGCAGAAAGAACAGGGGAATCTCCTGAAGGCCTGCCCTGTCGGGAAGGCCCGGTGTCCCGCCGCCCTGTGCATCGCATCCGTGCAGTGTGACTCTGCTCACCTTGCCCGCACTTGCGTCTCCCGCAGGGGCATCTCCTACTGGCTTTCTCTGCACTTCTGGAGTTGGACACCTTTTCCCCCTGTCTTCCACAGACTTCTTGGCGTCAGAAGTCTCATGTTCACTTTTACTCTGTCTTTTTAGTCCTGTTGTTTCTTTGCCCCTCTTTGCTGAAGTTTCTTTGTCTTCCTTCTTGGTCTGTTCACTTTCTTTTTTCATTTCTTTTGCTTTTTGATTTTCTGGGATTTCACTTTCTTCAGTTTCTTGTTTCTTTCTGGATTTTTGTTCTTGTTCGTCCCTCCTCAGCTTCTCTTTCTGTTCCTCATGCTGCCTTTCCCGAAGTTCTTTTTCTTGCTTGCTTTTCTCTATAAGCAAAGTGGCTTCTGCAAGAATCTGTGCTTTCTCTTCATCCGTTAACGCCGCAGCCGCAGGGGGAAACACTGGCTTGGTGGAGCGGTCGGGAACGCCTTTTCCATTCTGAGGAGACTGCTGCTCGTGATCTGTACTCTCAGCTTTTACTCTATGATCTTCAGGCAATCTGACTGCTGGTTTTTTAGTACGATCAATCTATAGAAACAAAAGCAGCAAAATATATAACCCTGGTTCCCCAAACCAAGCTGTGATAAAAGAACTGCCCCTCAAAGAGACAACACCAGCCTGAACATCCACTTGTTAACGCCTCAAACTCAGGTTCCTCATGTGGCCGAGCTTTCATGGGGACTCAGTTCAACATTTCATTCACCCCACCGGGTTCCGTACATGGGATTAATGTGCTCATGCCAATAGACGAAACCCAGAGCGGCGCACTGAGGCTCAAGCTCTATTCCCACACAAGCCCCGAACCCAACGGCCAACACGGAACTCATGACTCCCTCAAAAACATGGCCCTCTCTCATAGGACAACCCTTCTCGGAGCAGCTCCAAGCCAGAAGCTGAGTCCCCTGGCATGCTCTCTGACCTCTGGAGTCTCATGATTCTCTTCCTGTGTCTGCTGCCACCAGCCAAGGTCACGCTGAGGCTCTCTCCTTCCAGGACTATGGCACAGCTGCCAGCCCCTCACCCATCTATCTTGTCTTCTACCCTCCTTCTACCCTATCTCCATACTGTCGCCAGACTGATCACTGAGGCAAACCTGACCATGTTCTTCCTATTTTAAGTTGCTACTCGCTAGACTCAGACTGCATCTAAGTTTTTAGCATGGCCTGTAAGTCCCTATGCAGTCAGTCCTACATCTGTCGCCTTCTCACCTCTTACTCTTCTATGCACCAGCTATACCTGCCTTAAAAATCAAAACTGCCGCACCCCTTCCAAATCAGGTCTTTTTATCAGCTGTTCACCTAGATAAGGTCTAACCAAACACTAGGTCTTGGCTTAGATAGTTCTCTCTCAGAAAAGACGCCACCCTGCTAAAACTAGTCATGCTCTCACTATACCTTAGAGAGCACATATTGGGATTCGGATTAAATGTTTGTTTATAATCTTCTCTCCTAAGAGATACGTGGTGGCATACTTCTGCAATCTCAGCACTCAGGAGGCTGAGACAGGAGAGTTGCTGTGGGTTCCAGACCAGCCTGGGCTACATAGTGAATTTAAGGCCGGCTTATTTTAGTTCACTACATGATGAGACCCTGCCTCACAAACCCTAGGTAAAATATTCCCTCCTAGGACATAAGTTCTAAAAAGGTATAGATGGTGCCAGGCATATGGTTAATAAATATGTTGTTGAAGGAATTAATATTCTATAATGCCAGGCATGGCAGTGTATGCTTATAATCCCAGTACTCTGGGAGGCTGAGGCAAGAAAACTGCAAGTTCAAAACCATGCTGGGCAAGTAAGTGATTTAGTGAGACTAAAGGAGGGCTGAGGACAGTACTGGGGGAAAAAAATCTGTAACAAATTTTGTAGAGTTAAGAGACTGAACTAGGCACGATGGTGCACCCCTGTAATTCCAGCATTCTAGGAGGCTAAGGTAAAAGTATGCCAAGTTAAAGCCCAACCTGGGCAATTCAGCAACTTAATGAGACCCCATCTCAATAAAATTTATTTTTTAAGTATGGGGATGTAGCTCAGTGACACAGCCCACCAGGTTCAATCCCTAGTGCTGCAAAGAGATAAAAGAGATAGCGATACAGACAGAATATACTAATTTCCTTCAAGCCAAGCCACGAATTACTTTATTTCCTCATCAGGTGAGTTCAACACGCATCACCTCCGTTTAACAGCACATTACCCTACGCCACTGAAAGAAGAGACTCATCATTTCCCAGTGATACAGTACAATGAAAGAAAAATGACAATTTACAGTAACATCTGCCAGTGACATGTGTCCACTGGATAACCGAGCAGGAAGAAGTTAGAGAAGAAAACATCATGTCTACCATCTCTTCGCTTCTCTCTGCCTGCTGTTTTGTGTTTGAAACAAACAAAAAACCTATACTGTCTTCTTTTCCACATGTATTTGTGAATGAACTAGGAACTATGGGGATAAAGCAAATAAAAGATGAAGCAGCAACCAAAATAACTGTTTCTATTCACATTTTGATAGCTCAATCCTTTATTCCCTTTTCTTTCTTTCTCTCTTCCCCGCTCTCTCTTGTGCTTTCTCTTTTGTGGTACTGTGAATTGAACCCAGGACCTCTGCCACTGAGATACAGCCCCAGCTCGCTTTTATTTTTTGAGAGAGGGTCTCATTAATTTGCTGAATTGCCCAGGCTGAGCTTGAACTTGTCTGAATGTGTGCGGGGTTGTTTCTATAGCCTTTGCTCTGTTCCAATGATCTGCATGTCTGTTTCTGTGTTGGTACCATGCTGTTTTTAGCCCTGTAGCTTTGTCACATAGCTTGAAGTCAGGGATTGTGATGCTTCCTGTTTTGTTCTTGTTGCTCAGGACTGCTTTTGCTATTCTGGGTCTCTTCTGGCTACACATGAATTTTAGGATTGTTTTCTGTAGTTCTGTGAGGACTGTATTTTGATTAGGATGGCATTAAAATCTATGTATCAGTTACTTTCAAATTTAAACTCTTTAATGTTCCCTTGTGCCTATAGGATAAAATTCAAATTTGATCCAAGTCTCTTGAGGACTCTTGATTGTCTTTCCAATCTTGTCTTGTATCACACTTTCATCTCCAACTGATACCCATGACAATACATATCAAAAACTGCTCTCCGGTGCCAAAGCAAGCCCTGTGCCTTTAGCCACACAGTTTCCGCCTTGTTTCTTATAGCTGCAGATCCCAAGCCCAAATAAAAAGCTACTTTCTCCATTACAGCTTCTCTCCTTGCTCTGTGCTCCAGGGACTGGGGCGGCAATGATACTGTCTTAGGCTGTGACTGATTTTATACAAGTCTCTTCTTCCAAATATCAGAAAATTTATAAATTTTTATACTGTCTTTCGAATGAAAGATCCTAATCACTTCTGTGCCCTTTGGCTAAGGTCAAGTGTAGACTCTCAAACTGTTTGACCAAGTATACGTATCTGGGTCATGCCGGAGCAAGAAAAGATTAAGGTTCAAACAGGATGGCTAGCTAGATGTGGAGGTGCACACCTGTAATCCCAGCATTCAGTCAAAACTGAGGCAGGAGGATCAGGAGAGTTCGAGACAGCCCAAACTACAAAGCAAGACATTATCTCAAAAAACAAAACAAACCAACCAAAAAACAAATACGACGACTAACTTGAAAGGATATACAATAACATAAATTCTCTTTAGAATATCTTAAATTTATATTTTAAGAAGCTGTTTACTCATATTTTGCTTACTCTTACAATTTAATTAGAAATAGTAAAAGTGATTTTAAAACTGAAGAAACGAATAACCTCACTTTACAATAAAAAACTGTTGAGGGGCCAGGGACTTAGCTCAGTGGTTCCACTGCCTACCTCACAAGTGCAAGGTCCCGAGTTCAATCCTGGCATCAAAAAAACAAACAAAACAAAACAAAAGACTGTCAAACATTCTAGTCATACTCTGCTCTATAAATCAATACCACCCTCATATGTGAAATGCTATTTAGGTATAACTGGGGAAATAAATGAAAAAATAAATGTTAGAAAGTCTCATTGCAGAAAGCACAGGAAAGCATTAATTAACCTTTGAGTAGAACCTACTGGAGCAAGAGACAGCTGTACTGGGCACCGTGAGTGGTGCACGTGGTGACACACCACCAACAGGAGCTTACACGGCTCAGGACTGCTCCAATTAGCAAGCCACAGGTCTCAGATGCTTGCTCTAAATCAAATTAATATTCCATCTCGCCACTTCTGTTCCTAAAAGAACTTTTCTATTTCCCTATGGAAATAGAAGCTATATCTGCTTGGGTAAACAGTCATCAGCTAGGTTTGAAATCCTCTGAATTATTCTAATGGAACCATAACCAAAAGACTTTGTAAAAATAAAGGTGCCAAGACTAGTTTCTCCTGAGTGACACTTTCCTGGGATGTGTTTATATAACTTCCCTTCTATACTGCATGTCTGAGGTAGTATGAAGGCAGAGAACAAAGTCAGGAGAAAAGCAAACCATACCTGCGGAACATACTTTGCAGCAGGCACTGGCTGAACTGTGGGTGAAACGTCAGCTGTGGGAGCAGCGAGTGGTTCAGCGGGCATCGATGCACTCGGCACCCCCTGGCCACTCGTCAGGTCTGTGTTTTCATTTGCTTCTAGAGGCGGCGGCAGTGGTGGCATCTGAGCAGGAGGCCTGGAAGGAATCTTCACTGATTCTTCCAGTGAGGGGTAAGTGAAATCCACTGAAAGCACCAGAAGAACACTATTTTTAAAAGAATAGCAAGCTCCATAAAGAGTACTTGTGTTTGTTATGCATGCTGTATGTGAGAATTAAATACCAACTAAATAACATGCCAATAACAGCAGTCTTCTAGGCCTTATGTATTTTTAACTGAAAACAGGACAGACAAATGCACATATGACAAAGACCACGACCCCCAAAACATTAGTATCTATTTTATATTTACTACAGTAATTTAGACAAAATCTGCACATACATACATGAGATAGACACCTCTTCATTCTTGCCTCGTGGGGGCGGAATGACCTTAGCATTTGTTGTGTATTGGGGATAGCAAAGCAGCCAGTTTTCATAGCCTCCCTCCAAAACCAAGGGCTCACTGCGAAGGACAGTTTTACTCTCCCACTATAAAATAAGGAAATGGCATTTTTAATATGGTGGGCAGCCTAAAGACGGTTAAAACCACAATACGTATCAACTGTTCAAGTGCTCCCTTGAAGGTGAAGATTCATTTTCTGAATGGTGAAAAAATAACCAAATTCAAAATCCCACATTAAATAAAATAGATATGTAGGCCAGGTTTTAAGAACCATACAAGTAATCCATGATCTTAAAAGAAAAATTAGAAAATCAATGAAAATAGAAGTTGCCTGTAACCTCACAACCAACCCAGAAATACCATTTTAACATTTTGGAGTTTATTCTTTATTACTTTATTATTAGTGTATGTTTAAGAAACATAATAAAGAAAAAATGGAAATAAAATGTTTGTAAATGGGGAGGGAGGAGGGGGTGAAGGGAGGGCAGGGACAAGGGGAAAAAATGAGAACCAAGACCTGTCATGTAAAGGTACAGGATCCCAATAATGAATGTAACTGTGCTGTAGACCTAAAACGTACCAATAAACTCAATGAGAGAGAGAAAAAAAAACATAATAAATACATTCTTTGTGGTAGTTTATTCTCATAGAGTTCTACTTAGATACACACTTTTTAGTTTTGCTTTTGCAAGACAATGAAACTCTTAAAATGCTTTTCTTTCATGTGAACATCGTTTATTAAGAGCCTTTATCATCATTTGTACTGACTAGATACTATTCTATTTCATACACATACAAACACCTCAAAGTTGAATCAGTTACCTGAACACTTTCCCCTCATGTAATTGGAAGCAACACTTGAGATTCCTGCCACAACCCTTGGACGTGTACGCATCCAGTCACCTATCCCCGGGACAATTCCCCCGCCAGTGGAGCTGCTAAGAAGAGTTGCTAGTTTAAAAGCCTGGTGATGATGTCAAACTGCCCTTCACAAAGACTCTACCAGTTTATACGTGGAACCAGCAGTATTATGAGAAATCTCATTATAAGTCTTTATAATTTCTACCAAACTGGTGGACATAAGGTGTCTTGTTTTAATTAACATTTCTCCATTTGTGAAGTTGAACTACTTTTCACGTTTATTAACTATCCATTTAAATTCTTTTATGACTTAACTAATCTCAACTTTTGACATTTTTCTACAGAATTGCTTGCTATTTTCAGTAGAGAAACCAGTCATATAGGTTACAAATAATTTTCCTGATTTTAAAACTTTATTTATAGCACTTCTTACACAGTTTAATAATGTATCTTCTATGGCATTTTGGTTTAGAAATCAAGATCATAATCATAATCATAAAATCAACGCTTTCTCCTAGGAGTTTACTGTTTCAGTCCACACATCTGTACCTCTGATCTCCTTGGCATCCAGTCTGGTGTAAGAACTTAGGCAGGAATTCATCTGCCACCACCTACTGGCTGTCCAGTTGTCCCCAAACCATTCATTTCACCCATCTGTTCCTTGCTGATTTGTTATGTCATCTTTATCATACCCTAAATTTTTACATTTCTCAGGCTTAACTTTATGAAACTGCTACTTTTACAGGTCAGAGCCAGTGGAATACTGGTACTTTCAATATAATCTACCCGTATAATCTGCACATTTCTGCTTCCCTATGTTAATCAGGAACCGTGTGAAGGCTTTAACATTGTGCGAGTGGGGCACCATGCAAGCGGTCAGCCGCCTTAGTAGCAGTATGAGTTGCATTCTAATTACATGTTTCCAGCCCTCATGCTAGCACTGTTTAATAAGGCAACAACTCACACCAAACATTTTTAAAGTCTTTGTTAATTTGATCAGTGAAAGCAGCACTGATTCCATTAAAGCTGACCATTTCTATGGTTAGACCTACAATCTCTTCAGATTTGGGGTGTTCAAAATACTTATGTATTTGTTGAAAATATTTTCTAATATTTTCTGCCCTCTAATGTGTATGGTTTTTTTTTTAACATCTAATAAATTTTTTTTATGAAGTCAAATCTGTCAATCTTTTTCCCTTGGCGACTTCTTTTGCCTTTATGCTTTAGCTTAATTCTAAAAATACAATTTTATATAGATCAGTTTATTATTTGGGGATTCAAAAATTTCTTTAAATCTGAATTTTTAAAAATTCCACAAAGCATGATGGATCTTTTAGGTCTTAAGAAAACAACTAATCAACATGGCTTCCTAACAAACCAGAGGAGACGTGTAGTTAAAGTAAACTAACAAGGAAACTTGCTAACCTTGAAAAGTGCATCTTTCAGACTCCGTAGAGTTGTTCCAAGCTGTAAATCTTTTGCAGAACTAAACCAGTCAAGAAGCACCACATAATCCACATTCCCCCTCTTCTTCCATGTGTCTTTAGAATCGTCTGGGAGGTTTGCTTCAATCCAACTAGCAGTGACTCTGAAATGTATTAACATTCATATTGGGGCAAAAGTTGATGAGATCCTAGTAAACTAATGGAAGACACTGAGTTTTCTTCTAATCTGTACCACAGCAGGCCAGTTTTAAGAAAATTCCTTCCTAGGGTCCACTGTCTATTAAGTAACCTAAAACCTTTAACCCTCTCACTACTGCACGTTGGAAAAGGACTGTAATAATTACTCAAGACCGAAAGAGGAGGTTCAATCCTGGCCCCCTCTTTTTTTCTTTTCAAGAGCCCAAACTGAAACCAGAGAGTCATGTGGGCACAGCTCTCAGCCAAAATAAGCAATGGGGAACACCTTGCTAACTTTATTCACTTAGCAGTCCTCTTATCCACACAGATAATCAGTAATTCAATGGTAAAAACTTCACCTAACATAGAGCATTTACCATGTGCCAGATACTGTTCCAGATCCTTTTCCACTGAACTCCCTAAACTCTCACAACAACCTATAAGGTAGACATTACCCCATCTTAGCAGAATCCAGGCACAAAGGGGTTAACTTGCCCCAAGTTACAACTGATAATGGAGGCAAGATGAAAACTTAGGCAGTTCAGCTCAGGTCTATGCTCTCAGCTACTTTACTCTGCTTCCTCTTCCAGCTTTTCTTTTTTTTTGGTACTGGGGATGGAACTTGGGACCTTGCGCTTGCTGGGCAGGCACCACCACCACTGAGCTAAAATCCCCAGCCCTTTCTGCTGCCTCTTCCAATCAGCTCTGAAGAACACCAGTGCTGCATTACAGCATGCTGTTCCCCTCATCTTTTGATTGTGTAAGAGCAAGAGTCCTCACTCACAATGGCCAGTAACACCATGCCGACCCTGACACGGGAGTGGCCCCTTCGCCACACCCTCCAGCCCGCTGGCTTCCTTGAGCCTCCCAGTTCATCCGGGTGTGCTCCTGCACTGGGAGGGCCTCTGCTTTTGCTGCCTCTCTGTTTGGAACCCTTTTCCCCACTAGTATCTATCTGCATCATTATTCCCTTATCTCTTCCAGCCTTGGAAATAACTGCCTCTGAGGCCTCACTGGATGAAATGTTAAGACCCACCCCAACACACATGCACACACGCACGCATGCACACATGCTTACACTCACACACACACACACACACATGCTCCCTCCACTGCCACCTCAACAGCACTCATCAGACATATTACCCATTTTGTAAGTTTTTACCTTCTGTCTTACCCGCCCTATTTCCCCATTAAAGTGCAATGAAGGCAATAATTTGTATCTGTTCAATGACTTAGCTCCAGCATTTGAAATCACAGTGACTCAGCTCACTTTAAGTGCTTGTAAGTATCTGCTAAATGAGTAATACAAATGGGCCCCTCTGGGTAAGAAGCGCCATCATTTCTGGCAAAGCACTTAGCACACAGTAGGCCTGTTAATGTCCGACTGATGACAGTGGCAAGCAGAGCAGGACTGGGAAGACATTACCCACAGGCAGGACTAAATGGTGTGGGTGTTTTTAAAAAAATCCTATTCCTAATAATGTCGGTTACTTTATCTTCTAGGAAGTAAAGAAAGAGGAGAGGCAGAAGAAGAAATAAGAGAAAATGCCTCCCAGGCCTGGGGATGAAGCTTGGTGGTAGAGTGCTTGCCTAGCATGTGTGAGGCCCTGGATTCCATCTGAGTACTACTGAATAAATTAGTAGTCATAATTCCTCCTGATATTAGAGACAGATGCCTGGTACAAAGAACGAGAAAAATAAGATGTGATATTCTTAGGGTCCATTTTCAACTCCAGTGATATATCTGCCTAGATACTGCTCTCAGGATTAATATTCTACATACACTCTGAGAAACAACTCTATCAACCAGCACTTGCCAAACCTCGGTCCATCATGTGCCAGCTTCAGTTTACACCAAGTCTGCTTTAACATTTAAATGTCATTTAACTATTAATAATTCAATTTAAAATCATCTTTCATTGGGCCGGGGATTTAGCTCAGTGGTTCTGCTGCCTGCCTCAAGCACAAGGACCCAAGTTTGATCCCTGGTACCAAAAAATAAATAAAATCATCTCTTATTGAAATAAACTTATTTTAATAAGAAACTGTATGTTCCTATATCCCTGGAAAACAGCATCAGAGCCAATAGGTTAAGTAAGCCTAAAAAGAGGCTGACTATGCTCACAGTGACGACCACACGGCGATAAGAATAAAGGAACTGCAACTCAGCGCAGAACAGAGGTGACCCTGAAACACCAGGCAAAACCTGAGCAGCCAGCCGTGAAGACTGCAGAGCGCGAGCCCACACGAGCTCACAGACCGTGAGAGACAGACAAAGCAAGCATCTTCTCTTAGGAATTGGGAGTTTCGTGTTCTGTCCATCGGAACGCTTATCCTGTTCCATGGAGTGAAGTGTTGCTTGCTTCTAGAGTAGGAAAAAAAGCCACTTTGGCTCTTCAAGGGGAAAAAAAACAGGCAGTTTCTGGGGTGGGTGAGGAAAAGGCCTGTAACCGAGGGCAGTGCCTGTCACGCTCTGGGGCTGGTGCAAAGGGCACCTGCGCTCATGTGAGTCAGGATTAGTGAGGCTTGCTGGGCAGAGTGAGCCCTCAGGACCACAGTGCCTCTGTCCAGCCTATAAGGCTTGTTCTCTGTAAGAAAGGGAGCCCTAGGAAATATTATGAAGGGGCAGCAGCTAAAACTGAAACAGCTTTGGCCAACTGAGGCCTCCTGGAACAAATTATAAGGGAATAATTTTCTTAATGTGCAATTCTTTCATCTTCAACCTAAAATCGTTGAGATTCGCACAAGTCCTGACTGCAAACTCAAGAAAGACCACCAGCTTTCTATTGATACAGATTATCCAAAGACTACAACTTTGTCTTTTCAAATTCTGGGAATACATTTGGATCTGCCTGGTTAAACTTAACACTCCACAACTTGGTCAAAACACACTATTCCTCAGGTCAGATATCTACCAAGGGTCTGTAATATGCTAAGAGCTATGAAAATTTTATCTAGTTTTTAAAAAATCCAAGCTTTTAATGCTGTTGGTAAGCCTTAGAATGGTTGATTTTTATTTGTCAGTACTAGTGACTGAACCCATGGCCTTGCATATGCCAGGCAGGTGCTCCAGTACTGAACAACATCCTCATCCCTCTTTAATATTTTTTTTTCAAGACAGGTTCTCAGGCTGGTCTCAGAATCAGAATCCTCTTGCCTCTGCCTCCTGAGTATCTGGGACTACAAGTGGGAGCCAACACACATGGCTAGAACTACAGACAACTAATCCAATCCTGTAAATAAGATTGATTTAAAAATGCTCAAAACAGTGGAGACAACCCTGGGTGTACACATCCAAGCTCAGCTCTGCCACTATGCCACAATGATTTTTAGTCTGCAATATACACATGAAGTAACTTTACACCTTTTTTACTAAAAAAGAAGGGGGAGCTCTTACTAGTGTCAGGCACTGTGCTAAGTGTGTGTGTGGTGTGTATAAAGTATCTCACATGAACTTCTCGAAACTTCTATGCAGTGGGCAGTATATTATAGTCCCCATGTTACAAATAGAAATGGGCTTAGTGAGGTTTAGCCACTAGCTAGAAATAATATAACAAATGACAGTTATCTGATACAACCTGGCCACAGAGACTATATTAATACTTTGTTAATCATTTAGCTATACTTTTTTTTCCTGGTACTGGGGACCACTCAGGACCTTGTGCCTGCCAGGCAGGTGCAGTCCCACTGAGCTACACTCCAACCCTAGCTATACATTTTCTAAAAAAATATTTGTACATCTTATCACAGATAACAGTTTGGGGAATTCTGACCTTTAAAACAATTCAATTAGTTCAAAATTTGGTACTTATGATCCACAAGCTTATGGACAGAAAATGACAGAAGAAGTCAGGCAAGGGCAGTTCTGCTTCATTTCTAATACAACTCAAATGCTGCAGCTAGGAGACAATAGCCAGGGGGTGTTTGAGATTGCTCTTCCAAAGGATAAGGCCTGTCAATACTAAGCAAAGAAGGAAACAGGCAACAGGAAAAGACCGACTACCTTCTCTATGGCCAGTGGGCCGGGTGGCAGGCTTACTGCTACGCAGCCCGCCCCCAATCTAAATACTCAGCAACCCACCCTGGACTGATGGCTTCTTCAGGAACACACAGAGAATCAGCAATACAGGAATCCTGGTAATCCTGCATTCTTCGGGCATCCATTATCATCAAACTGATGTTTTTATCTGACATCATTGTGTACAGTTCCTTCGCTGTGACTGCTCCTTGGAATGGAGAGACAGGATAAGTGACAATAAACACCAGCTGCGTGCATTAGCATAGCATTACACACAGGACAAACACAGCTTCTACTAGAACAGCGAAGTGTACTCAGAATCACACTTGCTTTCTCATCGTACCACTTATCTCTTAACCTCACATCAGATGTCGTCTGTGTTAGTATTTACAGTACCTAGAAACCAGGGCCATGTTTTGTTTACAAAGTGTTAAATGTAAAAATTTCAGGTCTATGGTAGAACACTTGCTTAGCACTTGCAAGGCCGTGGGTTTGATTCTCCAGCACCACCAAAAAGAAAAAAAAAAAAAATCAAAACGTGATGTTGAGGTTACACCCTGTGTTGGCTGTTACTGGTATAAAATAAGGAAAATTAATGTGTACATTATGAAAATAATTCTATTTTTAAAAATCAAGACAGGAGAAATGGAAAATTGTTCATCGGAAAATATGTCTATTGTTCAGAAATTCGTAAAAGGCTTAAATTCTTTTTGAAAAGTCTCCGATGGGTGTTATTACGTATATCTGAAAAACTTTTAAGATTTTCAAGTATTCCTGAGTAACAGCCCAGAAGTTTAGCATTTATGCCCCCACTGTCCCATCGGCATGACACGGTTCCCTGGCAGCGTGCTGCCTGGGGTGCTGTGGGCGGTGGCAGCTCACTGCACCCCGAGGCCCAGGGCTGTAGAGCCTGATCTATCACTACCTGGCCAGTAAGAAAGAGCCCACCACTCCTCACTCTGCCTCATGCTCAGTCGTTGGCTCTCAGTCAAAAAGGAGAAGGACTGTTTTATTTTCTCTAAGAAATCCAACAAGAAAGAAGGTAAACCTACTGACATTATTTACTGATTTAATGGGGCACAGGACCTGACAAAATAAATGTTCCCACATTGCTGTTTCTCCTCAGCTCACCACCAGAAGGGAAAGCCCTCTGGTACAAACCCCCCTGCTGCTAACAGGCACCAATCCCTCTAACCACTGAGTGTGTTCTGACAACAAAACACGCTCAACAGGCCCCGTCACCACCGAGAGAGTGGGGCCCTAAACAGGAGATGCAGAAGGACAAATGGGTAAAAAGTAACCTTGGAATGACCCGGCAAGGGCTTCCAAGAAGGCACCCTACTCAGTTATTTTAAAAATTGTTCTACAGCAATATTTTCAGTAGAGAATTTATTTTAATGTTACATATAATTATGTTTAAGTTAAATCTTTGCAGAGACAGGAAAAACTTCTAGTAGATGAAAACAGTTTCCTAGTCTTGACTATACCTCCTACAGTAACATCCAAATTGTCAGTTTAGTTTTTTCCCAGCAAGTGAGACCTCACGACTCTCCAAACTGTAGTTGTAAATAGTAACCACAGCTAATGCTTAAAACTTTACTGTATGTTACATATAGTAACTTGTCCAATCCTCACAACACCCCATGGAACAGGTTCTGTTATTGTCCCCCCTTTACAAATGGGGAAATGAAGGTTAAAAAGGTTAAGAAACACATTCAAGATCACACAGAATTCAGAGAAGGAGACAGTTTTCAAACCCAGGCAGTCTGACTTCTCAGAGACCATGTTCTAAACCACTATACTAAACTGCATCTAGAAAAGAAAACAAGTACAAATTGTACTTTTGATGTTTTCAACTGCATAGTCCCATACTCTATCACATCAGGCTAAAATTATTAATAAATATGTCCCACAGTAAACAGATACAGAATCTCAGGCAATTTTGCTATAACTGTACAAACTAAGAAAAACTGTAAGAGTCTGGACACAATGCTAAGAACCTTACTATATAGAATCTAAAGTTATTCTGATTTAAAGCGCTCAATAAGAATTTAAAAAGAGAACATACTTACCTTTCTCTAAAGTTTCTTTTTTTTCACTCTTTTCACCATTGATCTGTTGCACAGGGAATTAAAAAAAAAGGCTTAACTTTAATACTTCAATGAAGGGGAAAGCCTAAGAAATGAAGTGTACTGAATAATGATATTTTATAGAAACACACATCAACAATAATGGTACTAGCAAGGGCCAGGGATTTAGCTCAGTGGTTCCAGCACCTGCCTCACAAGCACAAGGTCCCAAGTTCGATCCCCAGAACCAAAACAAAGGAAAAAAAAACAAAATGGCACTCAACAGTGACTGTGGCATAGACAACAGCTAGAATAACTAGCAGCATATCAGGATCATAGGACATTTCTTCAATTAAGGTCAAATATAATTTAAAAGGACAAACTGCTATACAAATGTAGTGTTTAATTAGAAAGTACTCAGTGTCCTCCATTACATAATTAAAGGAAATGTATCCAAAGTGTTCCTTATGTTAATTATGTTTCCTAACCTAAACAACCTGGAATAATCCTGTAAAGTACTTATTTTAAAGATGGGAAAACCAAGGCCTCACCTGAATCTATGCATCAATTTCGCACCACTAATAGTAACAAAATAAAAATTACGTGCCTCGCAGAGGATACAAATGCAGCACACAATATTATGAGGACCATTCTTGCCACAAAACAAAACTTGAAACTGACTGTATGTGCAATAAAGGCAATATGGGAAACAGAAAACTAAGTTAAATGACACAAGGAAGAAGCAGCCAGATAGACAAAGAATGCAGCTCACAGCCCAGAATTAGAAAGCCCAGCCCGTTAAATGAAAAATGAGAGGATGCCTCATTTCTGAGGACCAGCACTCTGTTTGTGAGTGCACCCTACGTCCACTTCCAGTAAGTCCCTCTCGTGTCTCTTTAAAAAAGAGAGAAATGAGAAGAAGAAGAATCGCAAATGGAGATTATTTTACATCAGTGATGGGGACCCTTTTAGAGCTTTCGCTAATAACACACAGCCCTCTGTGGCGCATGTGCCACAGGCCCACCACCTCCGTTTCAGGGACTTCCGGGACGTATCGACCAGACAGCCACTCTGGTTTGGATCCTAATTCAAACAAATCAACTTTAAAGTGGAAAAAATCACTTTAAAACAAGTACCTAAATCTAAAACTAGGCGGAATATCAGATTATATCAAGAATTACTAATTTGTAAGGTGGGAAAATAGGACCTTGGTTATTAAGAAATGTGAGATATATAACAAAATACTTAGGAGTAAAATGGTACATGAGCCTAGAACATGCTGTGATACAGACTTAAAAGTATGGCAAATGTTAGCTGAACAAAGTTTGAGTGAAAAGGCTTAACTGTATTCACTTTCCAAAATAAAAAGACAAAACAAAGTAAAAATAACACAGAGTGACCAACCACTGCTGAGAAGGCAACACAGTCAAGAGTTAATAAAGTCCCTCCACAGAAAGTCCCTTCTCACTTCTTGGACGCCCTCTCCAGTCCTGGTACTCGGGGACAGCAGCCATCCGAGCCACACACACCTTCTGAAGCAGTGTCATGGTCACACACGACAAGGTCCCGAAGGGGACAGACCGGACTCTGTCAGTTTCATTGCTAGAAAGAAACCTTTAAGATCATCTATTTCAAGATCTTTGTTTGGCAAGTGAGGAAACTGAGTCCCAGAACCATTAAGCAAAGCGTGACTGGGCCCAGAACGTGGACACACTCCATCACCACTCAAATGCAGTTTCTTACACTCTGACCAAGTTTATGATGGCTGCTAGAAATGTAATGAGTGGACAAAACATTTCGCTGCAGAAGCTCATAAAAATCCCTGGAATTAACTGAAACTGGAATGTTTAATTCAATTTCTAATTAAAACACTTTAAATTTGGCCCCTGTGGCCTAAAAAATACTTTACTTAACTCCTCCTGAGCAAATCATCTGACCACGAGAAGCACACTTGGACTTTACACAACAGATGTGAAGTACCTTTTGGGGACTGCTTTTGGAATCCAACACATTCTCCGGAGAACCTTTAGCTGTCGTACTACCGTCCTCTCTGCCCGCTTCCTGCCGCTTCTGCTGCTGGAACTGCTCTTCCTCCTGTCGGTCTTTCTCTTCGAGCTTTTTCCGAACTTCAGCTTCTTCATATCTAGTTGAAAAACCAGCCACGATGTATCTTGTTGGCGTGACAGAGGAACGTGAGCTGGACACCGCCCTGCTCCAGGTCCATGAGGGCTCACACGCATGCCTCCCAGGACAGCTGGCTTTCCTCACAACGAACAAAAGCCTTGCAAAGAGCTACTCTGCACACTCAAGTTGAGTAACTTAATGTTCCTTCCTGCTCACTAATTTCAATCTTTATGTAAAATTTTTCTTTTTTTACGGTGTTGGGACTGAACCCAGGACCTCTCATGATTTAAATCTGCTGCAATTCCCTTTTCAAAGGACCTACAAGCCCCTACTTCTCCCCACAAAAGAAACAGTTCCAACGCCAGGTCTGTGATATAGAGCCAAACGGAGCCTTCACACGGTACTGGGGGAGAGCCAGAATATCACCAAGGCAAACAGGCCATGCTTTTCTTTTCTTTCTTTTGAAGTACCGGGATTGAACCCAGGATATTCCCCAGCCCCAGCCCCGCTTTAGCCCAGGCTAGGTTTAAATTTGTGAGCCCCCTGCCTTAGCCACCCAGAATGCTGAGATTATAGGGGTGTGGCACCAAAAAAAGCTGTTTGGTTTTTTTAAGGATGACTACACTGAAATTTCCAACTTGTTGGAAATTAAAGTTATCTTAATTACAGTTAGTAAATACTAAGGAATTCGGAATTATTCCGTTAACTTATAAGCACGTGCCAGGGAATACATGTTACCAAGCCCCTGCTGCCTTGTTTGCCCTGAGTACAACCAGTAACACCTGTGACTTTCAGAGGAGCAGGTGGGGGTCTGCAAACAGTGTGGACAGAGCCAGAGAACCAGACAGTGCACTGTCTACTAAGTTCTACTAAGACTGTAAAGCACCTACTACCACTGTGCTCAAGGACGTAAGTGAAAAATATTTTTGTAATAAATCAACAACCAGGAAACCTCCACGGTATATAGAAATTGACATTACCAAAAAAGGAACCAAACAGAAATTCTTGAAGTGAAACATGTTTAAAAAGAGAAACCCTCACTTGAAAACTGGAGATAACAGTCAAGTACTTACAGACCAACAGAAATTAACCAATCTGAAGAACAAAGAACAATTTAAAAATAATGAAGAAGAAAAATATGGCCATACGGGTATGCTGAGGGTGTGGCGATCACCAGTGTATAGTTGAAGTCCCAGCAGAGAATGAAAATGGGGCAAAAGAAATTTTTTAAGAAATAATGGACAAATGACCTTTCCAAATTTTATGAAAGACATGACTTTATAGATGGAGGGAGCTCTGTGAATCCCAAACAAGAGAAATGCAAGGTAAAGGATCCCAGACCAAATCATATCACAGTCAAAACAAGGCTACAGGGGGTAATGTGTTTCTTTTTTGAGACAGGGTCTTCCTAAGTAGCCCATGAGGTCCTTAATCTCCCAATCGGCCTGCCTCAGCTTCACAGTGCTTTGATTACTGGTGTGTGCCACCACACCCAGCTTGAGAAAATCTTGAATCAGACAAAAATAAAACATGATATACAAGGGATCAATGACAGGTGACAGACACATTTCGACATCAGAAATAGTGGATGCCCAACAGAGTATCTTTAAGTGCTGAAAGGAGGGGCAGAAACCAGCATCCTGTATATCTAATGAAAATACAGTGGGCCTTGATTTACGAACTGAATTTGCTCACAAGGGCTGGCTATAGCTCAAATTGGTCAGTTAAAGGCTCAGGCTCCTCTACATCGCCTTCCAAGTCTCTCTGCTGTAAACAGGCCAATCTCAAGTGTCCTTAGAGAGACAATGGCCAGGGATTTCCCAATGAACCCCTCACAGGAAAGGATGTGTCATGTTCCTTCCAGAGCTCTGTAGGGGTTAAGTCTGTATCTGAGACCATCTGGAAGCACAGTGGCATTTGGGTCCTACATAATTCAAGACTTTGGTTATCAGTTAAAACACAGTTTGGTCATAATCCAAGTTGTTTATCAGGCCAGTCCATTGCAGCCTTTGAATAAAGAAGAAATAAATAAAGATATCTTCTAATAAATGAAAATCAAGAATTTGTTCCCAAAAGATGGGTACTAAAAGAAATGCTAATGGGAGCCAGGGATTTAGCTCAGTGGCTCCTGCACCTGGCCTCACAAGCGCAAGGTCCTGAGTTCTCAATTCCCAGTACAGGAAACAATCAAACGAATGCCAATGGAACTTCTTCAGGAGAGAGGAAGTGATTCTAGATAGAAAACTGTATCTGGAAGGAATGGGGAGAGGCAGAAATGTTAAATATATTAGGTATGTTTCTTTCATCTTAATTTATTTAAATTATACATGCCTTTTGTTTGTTTTGCAGTTCTACAGATGAATCCAGGGGGACTTGACCACTAAGCCACATTCCTAGCCTGTTGTTTTTTTTACTTTTTGACAGGTTCTCACTAAGTTGCTCAGGCTGGCCTCAAACTTGTGATCTTCCTATCTCAACCTGCCAAGAATCCAGGACCAAAAGCAAGCGCCACCACACCCAGCTCTTATGTGCAAAAATTATAACTTTATTATTAACAAAAAGTTCTAATGGGCTGAGGATTTAGCTCAGTGGCACTGCACTTGCCTCACAAACGCAAGGTCCCAAGTTTGATCCCAGTACAAAAAATAGTTGTAATGTATGAGGGAGTGATATATGTGACAACTAATGCATGAAGTATAAAGGGTGGTAAACAGACACATAGCTACAAGGCCTTTATACTTTATAGGAATAGATATTATTATATACATACACATACATCATAATGTGGAAAGAGAAAACAGAAAAGACATAAATCCCTACAGAGCTACTTTTTAAAAATGTAATGTAATTAAAAGCTAACAGGTTAACATGGAATTCTACACAGAATAACTCGAAGGCAGGAAACTAAGAAATGAAAAGCAGATGGAAACTCAAAGGAAGCCAGATAACTAAGAAATGAAAAACAGATGACACAAAGAAAAAAGCAGACCTAAGCCCAATGATAGCAATCATTATGCTAAATATGAATACAGAAAAATACTAATAATGAGGCAGAAATCGCCAGAACGAGTAAGACCCAGCACATGAGCTCAACATGAGACATACAGACATCAGACAGGCTGAAGTGAATGACAAAGACGCAAAAGTGAGAACACAGACTATGCAGCTTTAGCTGTCTTCAGGATGCCGAATTTAGCTGAGTAAAGAGAAACATAATAATGAGGCCAATTCATTGGGAATTTATTTATAATAGACAGAAATGTTTATATGCCTTAAATCAGAATTTCAGAATACACACAGCAGATAATGGCACAAACAATACAGTTAGAGACTTAACATTCTCTCTTGGTGACTGTCACAACTTTCTTTTGAGACAGGGTCTCGATGTATAGTCCAGGCTGGCCCTGAAGAGTGCTGCCGCCACCACACCCAGCCAGTAACTGTTACCACTTAAACCCTAAAACCTCAAGGAAACAGTGAAGGTCCCAGCAACACTCACAACACGTCCTAAATGACATGCACTGCTAAGGTCTGAAGGTGACCTGGGTGTGCAGGGTGGAGGCCTTCAGAAGGGGACCGGGCTGGAGAAGGGCGTCAGGGTGCAGCTGCCAGGACCGAGTGTGGCGGCTTTCTGAGAAGAGACGGAGACAGAAAAGGCTCCTGCACAACGTGCCTCAGTCACACAGGGTCCCACCTCAGGATGGACTCTCCGCCTCTAAAACCGCTAATTCAATCAACTTCTCAACTTTACAAAGTTCCCTCAGAACAACACAGAACAATGACAGGACACCAGATTCAGCTGTACTTTCTTTTCAAATACACACAGTTCCTTCACTGAGACAGACCATATGGCAAGCCATAAAACAACAACACAGTTGCCGGGGATTTAGCTCAGTAGTTCCTGTGCCTGCTTAGCAAGCACAAGGTCCCCAGTTCAATCCCCAGTACAAAACCAAAAACCAAAAACCAAAAAACAGTTAAAAGGGATTGGACATCTATGACCACAATGCAATTAAATTAGAAATAAATTAGATGCTTAGAAAAATCACAAGTATTAGGAAATTAAACAACATACTTCTAAATAATGAATGCATGGGTCAAGGGAGAAATTACAAGGGAAATCAGAAAGTATTTAAAAATAAATTATTAAGCTCTACTGCGGAAACAAAATGCTCTTTGATTTACAAAAACCAACATGTTAAAATAAAATAAATGAAGACCAAAGTGAACAACAACCAATAGGACAGGATGGTGAACCTTTTAGAGCTTTCAAAGGTAACAGCCCACAGCAGAGCCCATGCCATAGGTTCACCACCACTGCTGCAGGATTTAAAAAACAGAGGCTCCCCACATTGCCCCTGTCCTGGCAGCAACCAGGGCTAAGTGAACTCTCAAATCATAGGGGACCAAGCTTCCTCGGATACTCACTCCCCCATCTCCCCTCTGCTCTGGGCAAGAACCTGCTGGCAAAACCGTCATGCCATGGACCTCAGGGTTTCCCTCTAGTCCTGCCTGTCTCAGAAACTAGCATCTATTTCTCTGTCACAACACAGGAAGGAGAGCCTGGACAGTGGAGATGTGCGGTTATTTCGCCTTGCCCCTTTGAAGCAAATCAACAGAATGCCAAGAGAAGGCGCTGCAAAACAAGTCTGCTTCCAGTTAATTACAGCAGCAGCACACGCGAACTGAGGAGCTCTCCTCGCCAGGCGCCAGGCTAAGTGTGCGCACACATGAATTTGCTTAAAGTACTGAAGAGCCCTTAAGAGGCAGGTCTGTTTTCATCCCAGTTACAGATGAGGGAAGAGGCGCAGGGAGACGGCATAACTTGCTGAGACCACAATCAGCAATGGAAGTCTGGCTCCACACACTTACCAGAAGCATTCTATGCACCAACAGTGTGTGAACTCTGCCCTAGGAAGCAAGCAAAGTCGGCCTGAATCCAATTTGAGGGCTCAAATGAAGGAACTTTAAGATTTTCTTTTTCCTGTTTCTTCCATCACTCCATGCTACCTCCACCTTACCACCTGTTCACTTCTACAACAGACTCTGCAAAGCCACTCACAGAGCGGGTCTCCTCCTACCCTGGAGCTCTGGCTGGTGATCTAAAGTGACACCAAGGTATCTCTCTCCCTCTGACTGACTTCTGGTTCTGTTACCGCCAGCCCAATCTCCTCTAGTCGCATTCCGACACCCACAGACTAGCTCATCCTTGACATGAATGTAAAAGAAATGGATGAGTGGAAGTTTGACAAGCACCTCACAATGACAGGTACAGCTGAAATCTGGTTTCTAGCCAATGACTAAGGTACTTTTGCCAATGCCTTTTTGGGAACATGGATTGTGCTCACCCTAGGATTGGGGAGTACAAACCATACCATGACTGGGTAGTTTAGCAAGAAATTTACCCTAAGATGGTCACGATTTTCACCAAACTCTAGGCATCATCTTCCCAATGCCTCTTCTCACAGTGCTGTCCTGAGAGAGAGAGAGAGAGAGAGAGAGAGAGAGATCCTAACCAAGTACAAATTTCAAGAACTTAAAGGGAGAAAAGCTGTGTAGTCAACTCAGCAGGGCATTATTAAGGACACAGGTGAAGATGTGTTAATACAGAGCTTCTCTAAATGTCACTAAAAGAAACCAAGCACATGAGGCAGAGGGCAGGGAGAGGACTCATAGGAGGAGCCCAAGCACAAGATTCTCCCCATGTAGTGGCAAAGTAAATCACACCACAGGAAAAACTCAGCACATTTAAAAGACCTTAGAATCAGGATGATCCTCAGAGGTCAATGAGCAACAGGGACCTTGCCACACTGAAAGATTTTCACTGCGCAAAAAGTCAATATTGCAAACTGACTTATTCTCAGTGACTTCTTCCATAAACAGATTTTATTTTTAAAGAAAAACGTGTCAAGGCATTAAAGAAAATTATGCTTGCTTTGAGAAGAACCTGCTTTTGTCACTGTAATCTACATGTATTTAATGCTCCGAAGACACACACTGCAAAAGAAACATTCTCTTCGCGTGAACCCTGCACATTTGTTTAAAAGAAGTATGGGTAATAAAATACACTAGAAATCAAGCTCCACTGTACCAACGTCTTCAAACATCTTATGATCGCAGTCTGTCCGGTGACAGGTTCTAAAGAGTTTTATATCAACACTACTTTCACCCCCATCTCCTAGATGCACAGTCTCAGAGGAACTAGCTGCCTGCTGAAGAATCCCCCAACCACCACCTTTCCCTGGTACCCTTGTGACAAAAGCAGTCAGCAGCAAAGACACAACCTACAACAAAATCGTCAGCCCCTCCACCACCTGACCTCAGCTGCTCAACTGTCCTCATCTTTGTCTTTGAAAGGGCTAAGAGTATAGTTCAGGGGCAGAGCACCTGCCCGGCAGGCATGCAGCCCTGGGTTCAAGTTCCAGCACCACAAAATGAATACACAAAAAACGTCTCAAACTTTATTTTTAAAAGAATAGTTTTAAAAACAAGTGATACATTTTTATGGATTTTTTTTTTTTTTTTTTTTTTTTTTTTTTAATTTTTTTTTTTATTTTTTTTCATTCTTT